TGTAAAATTTCACGAGCTTTCAGAAGATGTCGTTCCTTTTAAAAAAATATGTTCTTTTGGTAACAGTATCTTCAAAATACAGAGTGAAACTTATTTTTTCCAGGGGTATATACATACAGCTTTTATATCTAACTAAAACCTCACTAAAAACCTGAAACTAGTACATGATCATTTTGTGAATGTTTTTTTCTTTTGAACTATTTTGTATTTTGTACTTAGTATTAAACAATTTCTCAATCAGCCCACTAAATAGATGAAAGGAAAAATACTATTTAAAACAAATTTCACTATAATGCAAGAATCTGTTCAAAACACATGGTTATACACATTAAAAGTTTTTTTTCGTCTAAAGGCAATAGCAAAATTAAGAGGTTTTTGGAAATTTCCTACTTTATTCGATAAAATATAGGAAAAATAGGAATTTTCATTAAAATATAGAACAAAAATAGGACGTTTTTGAAAATAGAGGAAATATAGGTCGAATCGCCGCTCAGCCATAGAATCAAAAATTGTTGCTCTCTTTTTCGTTATGTATGCAGAAAAATAAATATATATAGATATAGATATTCAAGTAAACCTTCGATTATGCGGCAAACATATATTTGATCTGAACTTTTTAGCATATGATAAAAGATTTCCGAAAGAACTCTGCTTTTACACTTAACATCCGAAGAAGAGTTCAGAATGAATGCTCAAACGTTAGTCTTAAAAAAGATGAAATATTGAATTTTATGAAAGTAATATTTTGATTTAGAACTGAGGAAATCCGAAAATATTCGAATAATTCTATTCGACTATACAATTAGTAGGCCTTATATTGTTGTGTGAAGTCTAATAAAATATAAAATTTTTCTGAGATGTAATTAAATGCTCGAAACATAACATTAGTGTAATTTTATTTTTTCATTATCACAACAAAAACATTTACTATCGCTATTGACAATCAATAGGCATCGTCTGTAAATAGATACACCGAAAATCGAACAGGAGAGATACCTATCAGTGATATTCAAAACCCATATCTAAATAAGATAAATGGCCTTTCCATGATCATTATAAATATATAATATATATATTTCGATAAAAAATAGATTGTATCTTTCGTGATGAAACAAATAATGAAAATTTGTTTTTGTTAAAGTCATGCTCATCGATATTTATCGCAAAACTTATGTTTGACGATAAAAGTTCATTGTATAATATATTCTTGAAGAAATATTTCAATGCATATGTTGAATACAAGATTTTACGTATTACTTTGGATTCAATCGTTTTTCGAGCACAATAGAAAATATTTAGAGACGCAATTATTGTACATGAAAAATCATATCACCCGTTAACAACACGGTAAGTCATGCATTCGACGAAAAATGGTTGTTTCTTTGTTTACAATCATGTTTTATAACAAACACAGTAGACAATGCAAATGTTGGTAAGTTTTTTTGACTGGATATCATTTGCTTTTTGCCAACAAACATGACTACGTGTAAATTTTATATATCGATGCATGACTTCTTTATTCTTTTTCAGGACATGACAATAAATAATAGATAGATATTTTTTTCGTACGAAACTAACCATTGGTTGGGCGACAACGAATCATCAAGCACTCTTAATTGATCGCGTCTAGTATATCCTGCAATATAACTTGTGGTATTTTTATGACTAATACTTCCTACTCAAATTGGATATAAATGTAACCGTTGGTGTACATATTTTATACTTTGGTTGTTAGTACTACTTTATACCATTCAACGATGCAAAGATCAGTTATGGATCCTTATACATTAAACCATTTTCATAGAGTTGCAAACGCTATGAATCATTATGTGGCTGAATCTGCTTACGACTATTATTCGGGTTATGATTGCATTCAAAGGCAACCTTATTCCACAGGATTTTTTCCAAATGCTCACTATAATAGTCATTTTGGCGGCAGTTACGATTCACTTGGCATTTCCAATTTAGTTTCACAAGTCATTCATTGGATCGATAATAATCTATGATTTATTTTTAACATGAACAAATGAAAGTCAGATATCGTTCAACGTTGTTTATGTCTATTTTCTTTTAAACAAATCTATTTTAACACAACGATTATTTATGGTTAATCAATATGATTAATGACAAGAAGAAGGCTGTACGAAATATGTTTCCTACGATAAATTGTGATCGATGACGATTTATATCGTTGAAAAACACCGAACTTTCCTTATTATAATTCTTCTTCAAATGTATCATTTTTTTATATTATGAAATAATTCTGAATTTTTTTTAATAATCAGAAAACAAAACTAAAACTTTGTTTTTACATAAGTAAACAACTGTGAATTATTTGCAATTGTTTTTTGTTTCTCATCAGAAGATAACTTCTTCCCTGTTGAATATTAATCGCATTTAGTTGGTTTTGAGGAAATTTTCAGTAATTGGCTGCTTTGGTTTTCGCTGGATCATTCGGTATGAATCGATAAAATTTAGAAAACGCTGCTAGTGGCTTTCTCAAGCCATGTGGCATCTTCGGTGATATAGTCGCGAATCATTGCTAGAGTCTTGTATTTTTGTTTTATCATGGACAAAAACAAATATTTCTTTTTAATTTCTTACGTGCACACTTGTTTTCATTTTAACTCGAAACCTTTTAGCTGAGAAGGCTTTAGTTGATTTACAATGATTTTGATAATAGTTTGTCATTATTCAGCATTTTTATCAGTAAGATCAAGCCTGCAGGCTGCAGCTATAGATTATTTTGCAATGGTGCACATCAATGACTTCCGCCGTATTAAATTTATAAATAAATATGAAAGGATTTATTTTCCTGTAGCGTCCCATTTTCAGTAAGAAACTGTGTTAATATGAGCAATCTTGAGGGCCTGAGAAAACGAGAATTTCTTATCGATAGAACAATGATCACTGATATTGTACTTTTCAGGGAGTAATATATTTTCACACATATTGAAAACTTATTGAAATAATCACTTGTTTGTTTAAGAGTTTTTCAGAATTCTAATACAAAGTTGTAATATCGTTTTTAATACTTGTAGACATATATCGAACATTTTGTAATCGTATTTCATCTAATAGCCGATGATGAAGACATTTTAGCAGATTATGAAAGTCTGAAATATCATAACTCAATGTGTTGTCTTTGTGAACACAACAACCTTTTGGTGGGAATCAGCTGTCACTATCGTAGAACTAAGTATTTCCTACGAAAAAAAAGAATTGCCTAGTAAATAATTTGCTATTAAAATAAATTTTAGAAAAGTTCTTGACAATGAAGCTAATATAAAATTGCCTTGTGTCGTGTCATCGATCATACATATTAAACATACGACGATGACTAAGACATTAACGGTAATGACGTTTTTTTTATTGCAGAATTTTCTTAATTATTTTTGCGATGTAAAGGAAGATAAACGAATAGATACTATTAATATTTCATCGCTATAGATCACTTGTTTAGATTAGCGATATATATTTCGTTATGTTTCAGTCGTCATTTCTTTAATTGCATGTACAGTAATTTATTCTACTGTCTACCAATGAATGGTGGACTTTTGAAACTATTTGAAAAAAAAAAACTGTTTTATTTGGTAACATAACAGTATTAGCATTCGTGAAGTTCGTATACAAAAATTAAATAAATGAGGAAACATCGGATTCGCATCCGATTGTTATGTGTACTGCAAAAACTGAGTCGATCTATATATGTTGTGAATAATTCTAAGAAAAAACGTTTTTCTTGAAAAAATCCCTGTGGGCCGCCCCCCCAGGCAATTCTTTTTTTTCGTAGGAAATACTTAGTTCTACGATAGTGACAGCTGATTCCCACCAAAAGGTTGTTGTGTTAACGGTCGGACGGACACTGACCGAATCTAGAGTGTACTCAGTTTTTTTGAGTACACAAAAACATGCAAGTCCCTATTGGTGATGCAATTGCATCTGAAGATACGTTGTTTTATAATCGAATCAAAACTCAAATCTATTATCAGTAACGTGTTACAAACAAATGTTTGTGCATGTGTGCGTACTCTAGACATTTAATTACACGCCATTCGTTTTAATAAGCCCTTATATCAATTGTAACTATACCTTAACATCTATTAAGAATCCAAATCTTTCCAGTTAAAAGTTTTTCAGAATTTAAAGTTAGCGAGTAATATCATCTATGAACAATGAACATCACAACAGCGGACACTGATTTCACTGACTGTTTCGATTTCTTCGAGATTTTAATAAATTAGGCTGCAACAGAATTTTATTTCAAAAAAATTCGATTTTGACAAAATTTCAAAATACTCCCGTTTGCTTTTTCTGTCGATTTCAGTTATTTCTAATCTGGGACTACTAAACATTCCATAAATTTTTTTCTCAAGGTCACATATTCACTTCGAAGTCGATTATTACGAAAAGTTTTGAATTAAAAACAGAATCCCTAATATAAAAAGTACCATTGAAATCGAATTATGTTCTACGAATTTCGACATACGATTCTAGAATTATTATAAGCAAATCGGTCTTTTCTACAAGGAAGAAGCTTCAACATCGCATTTTCCATGGACGAAACATTGCCAACAAGAAATTTTCTTTTTTAGGCTGGTTGCGAGCAGTTCTTCATGTTCTCATACATACAGACACATACATATGAATAACAAGTAAAAGATCGAAAAGCTTTATTAAACGCCGATATAACAGTACTACTCTTAATGTGAACAAGATGAAGCCATAAATTTCGATAAAATCTTCTTTTTTTCATGCTGAGAGGTAAAACATTACTGTTTTGAAATAATCGATCACTAATAGATCACTCGGTTTACAAGTATACGTATGTTGTCTCGTAAAAGAAAATAAACTTCATGGCCAAGGTCCTGTAACTAAGTACGCAAAAAATAACTCAGAAGAAACGGGGAGGGTATATATATATATACTCTAGAGCGAAATAAACTCATTAGTCTGATTTTCGCATCAGCCAAGTTAGTTTGCATATATTAGGAATACGAATGTTGGCAACACCAGTAGCACCAGCCGTTGATAAAGGCGGAAGCAGGTAAATAGAATTCTTTTATGTTCAAAATTGATTTACTTCTGTCTATAGTCGATATATGCCTACTATCCCAATGCTGGCCATCTGTTGTTTGGGTTTATTACTACTCATGGTAGCGGCGACAATCATTCTTGCTCTTATTCCAGTCTATGTACCAAATAAAACTATAGATAGTAAGTAAAAATATATTTGAAAAAATGACCTGATTTCATACGCGATGACGACAGTTTCATGATAATAATTTCCTATTGAAGATTTAGTCACCACTTCAATAAGATACTTTACATTGAATCCATTGTCAACTATTACAGAGTATGGCATAACAACAGCAGGGACATGCACTACGATTAGCAATTCGGTAAGACAGTAAACTCTAAAGTTCGATCTACGGATTTCTTTCTAGTTGGAAAGTAAAGTCGGTATTCCACTAGGATCACTGATCCCAATATCGTGTACATTTGCTTTACAATCATCGGGTAGACGTCGACGATCTTGGTATGTTCATAGGTAAATAACTCTGACAGATTATTTTTATTTAAACTTTATTTCCCTAATATTCCATGTTAAATAGTCGTTTGCGTCGCCAGAGTGGAAGTGCGAAGCTATTTATGAAAGCAATAATTAATTACTATCGATGTCCACGGTGTCGTGCACAAGCATACATTAACCAATGGATTAACCTGGAATTCCCATCAACATTCGCCTACAATGGGACCCAATCCATAAAGTTCATAGTATCCAGTATCACTTCTACTGGTAATATTATCTGAGTATGACATAATTGTATAACTATTCGTTTTGTTTTTGGTACTATAGCTTTTACTGGTGTGTGGCCTACCGGAATAATTATTGCATAGACTCGATCAGCTACTATGGCTTCAGTATCTGCGAACAATTAAAAAAAAACTGAACACAAAGATGATTTCTTTATTATGCGTCTGTTACTATTTAATACTAATTTTAACACACTAAATAAGCGTTTGGTGATGGTTACTAATTCTCTTAACTTGCAGTTGAATTCTTTTTTCTCGTCTTCGTGACGATATTTTCTCTTTATATTAATTGAAATAGGCATGATTTTTCTATTTGGTATTCGCGAACAGTAAAATCATGGGAAAGATTAATGCTGTAGATACGAAACAAGAATAACTAAACGATATTTGGTTTTTATTCGAATACAGAATGTCTTGCGATGAATGAATCGCTGATGAGAAACAAAGTCACAAGTCAATTCACAACTACGAAAATCCTATCATCGCTATACATATTTGGAGCCAAATATTATATAATTTCAATTTCAGCCTTGCATTTTTCTAATCACTATCGTATTCAGCAAAACAAAACAAAACATAATTGTATCCTGACTATAAATGCCCCAATGATTACGATTCGTTTTCTTATAGATGATGTTGAATTTTTCTTCTTCTTTTCTTTTTTGGTGCAGCATATTACTATGAAAATAAACGAATTGATTTGTTTATATTGAAATTCTTGATTAATAAATAACGAATCAGAAACTATGTACAACTTTTGCTTAGCAGTATTTACGGTTGTCCTATATTTTGAATTTGTTTTTTGCCCATTAATGTGATCAGTGCAGTGACCTCTACAGAGGGCTAGAGAAGAAAAAAATCAAAGAAATTGATGTGTTTCTCTTCAGTAAAACTACCTATCGAAGCGTCCATCAAACACAAAATGAACAAGTATTTTCCCTTTTGATAGTCAAAATCGCCTGATTCTTTGGTTGTAATTATTAGCATGAATCGAGAAAATCACATGGAACTTTCGCTGTTGTCATGATTTTAATTATTCGAAAGTTTAAAAAACACATTAAATTCCTTGCAAATCTATCTTATCGGTACAATATTGATACTCGAAATAAATCTACGCCGAGAGTTTTGAGTAATAAGTCACATCAATTCGATACCGATATTTGATAATGTTTTGCTCTCGAGATTATCTAAATTACTTGTGATAGTCTGTATCAATGTCGTGTATCTTTTTAAAGCAATTCGCACGTTACTAAAACAGTAAACATAGATTGAACATATTTCAGTTCATCTTTGTATCTTTGATAAGAAAAATTGAACTGATCCTTTGAATTAACAAAACAAAAGTTCCCAGCAGCTTCTTAAAATCATAAATATGATTTCAGTAGACACATTGTAACCATGAATCATCGGAATCTTATACATGAACAAATAACAATAATGATACTGGGTGTTGCAAAAGTTTTGCGGCATTCTTTGTTTTGCAATTATTTCTTTTCAGGAACATGACAAAACGTTGGTCTTTCTTTCAAAAGATGCGCCGTCAAATTCTCTGCAAACTTCTATTCGCCTTATTTTAGAACAATATAACTAAACCTTGTTATAGGTCGCATTGCATGATTGCGTGAAATGATCCTATGTCCCACATATTTTTTTTCTGTTTTTCCAACACTTTTTTCCTCGTTGCAACCAGACACATAAGACACTCTCGTTGTAGTTGAAGTGCGTATGGAATGATCTTTTACAATTATTTGTAAGTGTTTGACGGCACCTATATTTTTCTAAAAAGTATGAGCTGCTTGAGCTGTTAGAATAAAAATGACTTTCCTGACATCATTCGAATTCTTCCTTCAGTTGAATTGTTTTTCACGCGTTTTTTTTGACTGCACATAGAAAGAAAAATTAATTTCCCATAAAATACTGCCAAAATAATGAAAACAGTTTCGTGATAAGAAGTAATTCTAAAATGCTTTTTTGCAACAAAGAAATCAGACATGAAAATCACGCTATTTTCAAAATATGACCATGCATCTAACCGAAGAAATAAATGTAAACAACTGCATATATGTAAGCAACCGGCAGAGGATTTTCAGAGCTGTGTAGCAGTATAAAATGTTTTAAGAATTGAACATTAACTTCCACGAAAAGAATAAATTACTAAAAAAATGTGTGGGATACACGATGATTTCACACAATCATACTATTCAACCTATAAAAAGGTTCACTTATGTTGTTCTAAACTAAGGCAAATAGACGTTTGTAGAGAATTCGACGGCGCATCTTCTGAAAGAAAGACCGATGTTCTGTCATGTTCCTGAAAAGAGATCCATGCAAAACAGAGAATGTCGAAAAACTTTTGCAACGCCCGGTATAAGCTATTAATCGTTTCTGTTTCTTTCATTCTGTGTTTTTTCTCATACTTCAGCCATTGATTGATTGATAGTTAGCGAAATGATGCGTGATTTCTATAGAATACCGAACGTCATAGAGAATTATCTTCAATGCCGTCTTTTGTTGTCATACTTGTTCAGGTGTATGTCAGTTTAAATATTTTCACATCACCATTGATCAATCTGACATCTCAAATGAAACTAAATGTCAGTCTTATCAAGAAGAAAGCGGCTAAAATGAGATACTTTAAAAATAATAATCGTGCTGCTTAACTATTTACTAAGCTGATTAAGTAGCTTGATAAATAAAATATATTTCCTTTTTTCGCTCTACATCAATAGATATGGCAAATATTTCTTATCAAAAAATACCGGTAGATGGAATCGATTCGTCAATGTAAAAAATAATGCTTTGTTTTAATACTGTACTATCATTTTAAAAGAAGTCACATATATTTATGTAGAATTACTGAGAATCTTTAGATAATATTTGAAACTAATATATATGTCGCAGGAGAAATTAAAATTTTAGTTTCTTCTAGGAGAATTTTAAATATTCCTTAATATATAAGAGTATCAACTTCATATTTTTATTTCCTCTATAGGAAAAACTACAATATCTTTTACCTCCAATGGAATCGATAAAAAATCAAAATGAAAGAAAAATGTACACCTAAATAAACGTCGCATATATCATTTAAGTGGATATTCACTCTCTTATTTTCATGGAAGAATTTTATAAATCACTTGATAAACATATTGAAAGTTTAAATTACAAATTTCAAGACAAGTTTTCTATAAAACAGTTATTGTATGATGAAGCCTGCCCCTAATCCACTCTCCCCCGACGACTCCCCGCAAAATAAGGAAATCCCTGGGGAGTCCCTGTCGTTGTCGAGCAGCAAAACTCCAATGTGGTACTAAATGCCATTCATCAAAAACGAAACCATGTTCAAACGTCTAGTTTAATTTTGGTATTTTTTAAACATAAAAGTAAGAAAGTTGATATTTTTATATTCAGGAAAAATTAAATTTTAGTTTATTCTAGGAGAAACTAAAATTTTAAGTTTTCCTTGAAAAAATCCAGTAAAAATTGAAATTTTAAGTTCACCTAGGAGAAACTAAAATTTTAATTTCTCCTGCGACATATATGTTGGAGGGGAAATTAAAATTTTAATCTCACCTAGGGCAAATTAAAATTTTTTGTATTTTTTATATAATTTTCGATTTTTCTGAAATAGGTAAAAATGTACTGTTTGTGTGATGGTGTGGGTGGATGTGGGTTTATATATGGGTGTGGGTGTGAGTGTGAGTGTGGAAGGATGTGAGCCCGTACTAATCAAGCCCTCACCCTCACCCGCACTTATATTGTGCATTCAAACTGACTTTGTACAGCTACACCCACAGAGATGATGGACATTCACACAAACATTCCTGTCTAGACCTCAAGATGAATATTCATTTTTACCTATTTCAAAAAAATCGAAAATTATATAAAAAATACAAAAAATTTTAATTTGCCCTAGATGAGATTAAAATTTTAATTTCCTCTAGGGGAATTTTAAATTGCCATGGATTTTAATTTCCTCTCCAACATATCCATCAATCTGCCTTCAAGCAATCGTTCTACAAGGATATTGATTTCAATACATTTTGATCTATTCTAAACAAGAGATAATTGTTTGTTTCAATAATATATTCATAAAAACAAATTGAAGAATGATAACCTTTTAATAAATTTTGCTGCTCGGGATGGCGTAGTGATTCTATGCATCTGATTTAGTCAGATAGCAGAATCTCGTAAGCGTCGGAAAAAAGATGTACTAAAAATCATAAAAAGAACATAGGATGTCACGAATAAATAGAGCGAAATTTAGAAAAAAAAAGATTTTGATGTTTACATAACCGAAACAAATTCGTTGTTATTTCACGGTTTCTTAGTGAATATAGGGTCATTCTGGCGCGTTTAAATGCATAGATACTGTAGGACTACAAAGAAGGAAAAATGTTTGACTACTCAGCGAACTATTAAAGCAATTGAAATGCTTCACGAACAAAGTGCACGCATCTGTTTTTTATGAAGATTATTTCTGTATGAAAGTAGCTGAAAACAATCTTATAAGTACGATGTCAATAATAGAATATGAAATTCTGATACATCGAATCAACATTAACCATATTTTGTTTTTTACGAAGTCTGACACAAACGAGGCACATCGTTGCACTGTTGATTTTATTTCACTAGTAGTGAACAAGCTAACAATCTATAAGAGAAGTTTTCGTTGATTGTTTGGTGTTTACTTTGCACAGAAAAAGGTCGGCAATTAGCAGAAGCCATTTTCTTTCCCTTTTAAATCATGTAAAAGCATCTAATAATTGTCCAACTTAGAAAAAGCAACGAAATCATTTTCAAAAAACAAAAAAGTTGTCGCTCCAGTTTTCATTATGTTCATTTTATTTGAAATATTTTAACGTGGCTGTTAGATGAAGTTATCTCCGTAGCACAACCAGATGTAAATAAAACTTTGTTGGAATTGGTATTCAAACAGATAGATGAAGAATAAATATAAGTGAAATAGAACTCTATCGTAAGATTGTTGTTTTATAAGCACTTAGTTTACCATACTTTCTTCACATGACAGTTTAGAATCCTGTTTTTTTCTCAGTTTTAGTGACGCATCATCTCTCCATACAATTACTTATAGTATTCAAGTTACTAGAGATATTAACGTCAATCAACGCTTTTATTACATCACTCGTTCTCATGCATACGTGCTATGTATCCTAAAATCATTTCAGTTCACCCACAAGTTTACCTTTTTTCTCTGCTAAATCGACCATAAAAGCTCGTTTTTGTTACATCCGTCTACTTTACAGTTCATGTCATAATAAATTACATAGCAAGATTGATAACTATTAATGGAAGAAGTTAAAAAAGGAACAACCCATCAACTTTTCCATTAAAACCAAAATGTTACTGTATGTATCAGCATTTCAAAGCCATAGTGAGCATAACAAACTCTAGTTAAACGTGCTTTTGAAAGATCTGATTTTTATCTCTATTAAACATCATCTAAATTATCATTCTAACAATATTTCTATATAAAAAAAGAAACAGTGGCTCACGAGAGAGTGAACACAACAGAATTCATTATTGAATGATCTTTTTATATTGTGCTAACGTATTGTATCTATACATCCGATGATCTTAAATCTTACTGTTCAACCAATTTTTATAGTAGAAATTTACGATATTTTTACTTTTAGATTTTATATGAAATGATAATTGTCATCTTCATATTTATATTTTCTTCTGCTTTCATCGAAGCGAATCACTTCTATGGTGGCACTATTAGATGGGCACCGATCGATCCCTATGACAATTCTAGTTCAGTTGGTGTCTCCATTATACAGTCGTATTGGTGGAGCTATCCAGCTGTGTCTTGTGCAATCAATGTTCCTATTTCGACGAGCAGCTACAATACTACAAACATGAATTTGACTTGTGTTGATGATTGCTCAACAGATGGTGGTTATTCCAATACGCCCGTTAATATTTTAACTGACTGCACCTCAGTTAGTTCGTCGCTTGGCATCCTAGGAAGCGAACGATCAGTCAATGTTACGCTCGCTGCTAATGCAACTTTTTCGATAGCATATCAGAGTGGCTATTGGCCAAGTTTGAATAATCCACCATTAAGTAATTTTAGTTGGTCGTTGTTATGCTCGATTGACCTTCAAATGCGACCGGACGGGTTTTTGAATACTCCACCAGTGGCAAGTGTCATTTCTCCACAATATGTGATTGTGAATACAACAGCGACTATTGAAATACCTGTATCAGATGCGGACTCGGGTGACGATATACGTTGTCGATGGTCTGTATATCATTCGGGATATCGTAGAAGAAGAAGATCTCTTGAAAACGATGACAAAACGTACATAGATTCTAATTCTATGTACTACAACTTATCTGCTGATGAAGAAGTTGCTCATGTGCGGAGAAAAAGAGCGTCATGTAGTGGATGCCTTACTACCGTGTGTTTGATGGGTTGCAGTTGCGTTTGTCCAGGGTGTTCAGGAACCAGTTGTACGGGCACATGCACAACAAATCCTACTTGCCCTCTTATAACATCTACAACTACAACTACAACAACGTCCAAAAAAGTAACTTCATCGTATCCGAATCATAATCCAGTCGATGAATGCGGTGATATTTGTTATCCGAATGCTGTACCCATGAATACAACACTATACAACTGTACTATAACGCTCACAGGACAACAAGTTGGAATATGGTACGCAGTGGCTGTACAGGTAAGTAATTATAACGCATCCTTTTTTGCCAATTATCTTCCATTTAAGCATTCATTGAAATTTCTAATACAACTACAATCGTCTCCTATGATTGTATAACCATCTAAAGGTTGATCGAAAAAAAAACAACATCTGTATTTCGAATTAAAATTTTCTAAAGTATACTTTTCATAGTTTACTAGAGGAAACATCAATTCCGGATAAAAATCCTAAACTGATCAATGATCATTGTTGACCGTTTAAAGAACAGTTTACTTACGATCTTTTCTATTGAATTTTTGTGCATTAGATTATTGACTTTGTAAAAAATAAGTGAAACTTTTTGCACCTAGATGAAGTTAATAAATACTTCTCGGTTATTTTCAGTTAAAACTTATGTTACTGCTAACGAATTTTTGAAAGAGCATACATTTGCATAAAAGCTAACGATTTTAAATTGAAAGAGCTTGATTTTCTCGACCGAAAAGCAACATTTGAAAATCAACACAGACTGATTAGAACAAATTTCCATATGATTATTCCATGCTAATGCAATCTTGTTTTTGTCTACAGGTCGAAGATTTCATCAACAAATCTAGTACCACCCCTATGAGTTCAATTCCAGTTCAATTCCTCATTTACGTCATGCCAGCACTAACATGCACATCATCACCGATCATTCTTCCTGTAACAGGTTGCTTAGAATTTCAAATTGGCGTTTCGGCGAGTTTCAATTTATCTGCGATTAATCTATGTAATTCTAGCACAGTCGGAATTGCTGATATAGTAATATCGCAGTCCATATCAGGTGTGAAAGTTAGTAACCTGACAGGTTCAACAACAAACGCATCACTTGCTTATGTGACGATCACTTGGACTCCTCAGAGTAGTCAAGCTGGGGCTCAGACTCTGTGCGCAATAGCTTACACAGAGTATGCCACTGTTTTCTAGCGTTTTTTGTACATTCTGATATCTCTTTTTTTTAATATTTTTAACTAGTGAAATTGTCCAATCGCCGATCTATTGTGTTACATTGACCGTAATTACAACAGGTTTACCTTGCACGACAACAACTACATCGACAACATCGACTACTTCGACAACCAGCAGTTCAACTACTTCAACAACTACCACTTCCACAACCTCTACCAGCACTTCTTCCACAACAACCAGCACTTCTACTTCAACAACAACTACTACAACAACCACAACGACAACTACTACGACAACTACATCCACAACAACTACAGCAACAACATCCACCACAACGACAATAACAACATCCACAACAACTACATCCGCCACAACGACGACGACTACTTCCACAACTACTACGACGACGACAACGACAACTACAACATCTACTACCACCACAACAACTACATCCACCACAACGACGGCGACTACATCCACAACTACTACGACAACGACAACGACAACAACAACATCCACCACAACAACGACGACAACAACAACATCCACTACCACTTCTACGACATCGACTATTACAACAGCCACAACGTAAGCATCGGGACTTCGAATGAAGCTCTTGTCATAGAATCATTCTTTTATAAGAGTCAACGGATTCTACTTGATTTTCCCTATGAATACCATTTCTTCATTTTTAATATTGTGGTAACTCATAAAATACTTAGTCAGGAGAGTCGCCGTTCTCGACTTTGTTCAAAGTAAATTTTATAGATCCATGATTGAGTAAAACAAGATCTATCAGGCTGATAGATAGTTATGGAAATAAATCAGGGACGAAAAAAATGGAATTGAGTTAATACTTCAATCTTACGATTAACTTATTTCAAAATCTCAGTGAAAAATTGATTGCTGGTGATTTTCTGAGTACTCAGTTCAAAGACATACGGCGATAAATGGTCGGATATATCTTGAGGATGTTCAGTGGAATTAGAAAATAAAAATTCTTAAATCTATTCCAACAGCAACTTTCATCTCGGCCCCTTTTTACTTCTTTTCTCAGAAACGACCTTCAAAGACGGTTACCATTTTTATAATCGTAGCGATAGGATTCGATTCAAATTAACGACGAGATACCCTCGAAAAAAAGCAGGAAGATTTTTGAATGTGTAGCTGCGCCGATGCCATTATAAATCTATTCTTCAGTGTTCAGCGCAAACACACATATCTACAACGAAATCTTATTCACACCTATTTTGCTATGTATTTCGAATATGATGTTTAAATAGAAATTTAGTACTATGCTACAGATTCAAACAAATGATCATACGTAGATTATGGCTTTGGATATATTGAGCCTTGTAAAGACTAAACCTCAACCTAAACTGTTTGTAGCACAGATCCACATCTAAGCGCTTATCCATGTCCTAAAGAGAATAGGTCATTTTTTAAGATATTGGATAGAGACACGTTGCTATTATTTTCATGTCTATCTTTTTATCTTTTCATGCAAACCGTAAAGTGTATGAGAATCTTCTTCATGATGATCGTTGTAATTGTTCGTACTCTCTTCTTCTTCTTTCGTTCTTTTTACCCTAATCATGATAATTATAAAAATGGATGTATTAGGATGATTTCAATTTACTTAAACAAAAGAATACAACAGCAATCATTTGAGCTATTTCTATCATTTTAGGACTACACAGACAACAACAATTGCTGCAGGTAGGGCCAAATCTAAATATATTCCCTAGATTATCAGATGATTTAATTGAAAATTAGAAAGCAATATCAACTGGTTAATGATTGGAGTCATGTCAGGGCTATTTTTTGTCTTGCTTTTAAGTGGCATTTGCTGTTGCTGTATATATTGCTTGTGTTGGTAAGACTTCGAATTCTACTGTTACTAATTATAGAACTTGTTCTCATAATATATTATTTATGTAGCATAAAAACTGAGATAAATACCAGTGTAAGTAGCTAAACCTAGTCACTAGCTCAAGTATAGTATTTCAGAGATGAATTTCATTTAAATCTCAAGGCAGGAAAATATTTGAATATTTTAACATCGAAGTTTCTTTATACTAAACAATTTTCATTTCAAAACAGTATTCCTGTTGCACTTCTAAAAACGTCGGACGGCACTTGCTGGATGTATCATATAACAGCTGACTCTGATGTTGAATACGATGGCCATTCGAACCCACCGATCGAACTTTCAAGCAATACGAGTACACATGCGTGGAATTATCATTCAATCAGATCGGAAAACATGCTGACTACTGAACCAGTCAACACATATAGAAAGACGATTAATAGAAATAGCATGCGACATATTCGTATTGCAACAGTAGAAGATAGAATGATAGATTCATCTGTTTCAAATCCGACCTTTAATAGCGTACCGATTCATCAAAATTTTGATTTAAGCCTTGTTAAAACAATGGGTTCACAACATTTGGTAGAAACTTATCATCTTCAGCAGTGTACGACATTAGAACCCCGTCAGGTCTTGTCGACTAAAAGCAATCGGATCAACACTGTCAAGCCATTGTTCAACCAAGGGCCAGTATCAGGCAAAAGTCAACAGATGAATATAAATCTCTATGATACTAAGAAAAGGCGTCATAAAAATTTTGAAACGAATTCATTCGTAGATCAGCCGTGGGAAGTACCGAAAAGTAACAACGTCAACGTTGTTAAGTTGAAAAGACTGGCTTCTAATCCGAAATCAATAACAGTCCGCCAACAATATAACTTGTTTTCAATAGTCAATGAATCTGATACGCCGAGTCAAGAGACTGGATAAGATGATTACTGAATAAACAATTAATAGTTAAATCGCATCCATTAAAATGCCTATCATGTTGCCATTTGATGGATACCGATGTTGATATTAACATTATTCCTTATTAATCCTCTTATTTCCCTTTAATCTTTTTTTTTTCTATCATACATTTCATATGTTTGTGCACCTTTTTTTCATAAAAAATCTATCTCTCGTTCTCTCCAATTCTAGTTTATTTTGAATGGAAAGAAATCATATTCTATTGATGTGAAGTAGATAAATAAACGTCCATTCATGCCACGAGCTGTGGTAGCTACTTATCGAGTGATATAATAGGACAAGTATATACGATATGGACGATGCATTTTTTAATTAATCTTTAGCATTGCTTTTATCCTAGAGTCTGGATATTAGCAGAATACCTTCTGGTCCATCGTGAGCAACACTTCACTTGATATATACCATCCGATAGAACTCGAATTTCCGACTCAATTCCGGTTCGAATTAGTTTGATGTTATGAAACTGGGAAAAAAACTAATCGTTTTCTTGTTGTACAGTTCTATACCATCATACATGCTATCACATGCGGCAGCGTACGATCGTGTTGGACTGTCGTCAGTAATGCTATCTAGTTGAATAGAAATTATACTTAAAAAAATGATTATTATACATATGTTGAATAATTTATGATATTTATCAGCCGTATGATTTACGCAAGTCTCATGCTCAAGAGCAGTACTTTCCTCGTAGATATGTTTGTTTTATTTAGAGGAATGGACAAAAAAGTCAAGGAACGGAATATAAAGAAATAAATATAAAATAAAATTTTTCTAACTAATACATATGAATAAAAAATAAAGAATAAATAGATAATTATAAAAAAGGGATTTATTCTTCAATGTGATGTGTGGCTAATAGAATATTAATCACATTGTTATTGTAACCATTGTGGCGAAAGTTTAGCACGAGTTATTGTTGTTCTTGGGCATGTTTTGGATCACCACATGCGTTTAAATGAGCAATAGACTCGTCGACATATTTCATTTGTTGATCTAGTGACTGTTCTTCAATTTCTTTGGTTTTCTCGTAAGCTATATAGACTTGAATGTCGTTTAAGCTGCTGAGAAATTGTCTAAAATCGTCCATATAATCTTCAAATGTCTTGCTAGTAGCACGTCTTATGAAATAGTTTTTTTTTCTTGATAATTTCTTCTTTTCGCTTGAGGAACACCCTTGAAATAGTCAACGGCATTTGCCAGTCGTCTTAGTTGCACAGCTGGAATACGTTTTAAATTGGCTCTGGTAGAATCGAGTATATATTCTATTTGCCTATCTTTGTTTGGCAGTTCACGGAGCCTATATTTTCCTTGTACATGAGCATTGATCGTAATGATAAAAAAGATAAGAATAATATTTGATAGGCATAGAAACTGTTTTCGTTTCAGCATTAATTATTGAATTTTTCTGGTGTGAAGAAGAAATTCGATCGAAGCGTGAAAGAAAAACTTCGTAGCTACTTCACTAATTTTTTGTTTCTCTATATTTTTGAATGAGACAAGAGATGACAACTATTTCTTTACGTAGGTGTGTAATTAATGTTTAGAAATTTATTGAAATGGGAATTCTCTAGAAGAGAGGCGTTGCGTACGAGTAACTACTATTTTTGTTTCCATTTATCATGGCCATTCTTTACATTGAATGACGTTTTTTAATAGATAGATATTGAAAATGGTTCTCTCCAAGCTGATATTGGATAGTTTCAATTTAAAATAGTTTTTTCTGATTTATCATTGGAGTAATACTTAATATTCTCTCATGATAACATTCAAACTCGTTTATTTCTGCTGGCAATATCAAGAATTTATTCAGATGTAACTTCAAATCAAGCCAAAAACATGCTAACCAAGAGTGGCACAATACTATAACGCTAAGAGAGACGGTGGGCTTTGTTATTCATAGTCGTAAAAAATATTTGGCTCAATCTCACCCAGTCTTGTTGTACAAGCAGAGTTGATTGTACGTTATTTATGGTAGTTATATAAACACAAAAGATTTGCATTCAGACTCACTTGCGTACCAATGAGAACTTTCAAAACTATTATATTTCAGTGGTTAATTTTGCAGCGTGCTCAAAACTTTAGAGAATTTCGTATACATCATTTCCATGTTGCACGTTAGATCAATTAATTCGAAATTTGGGAGAAAATCCTGTTTGAAAACAAAGATGCTCAAAGTAGAATTTTTATTACATATTCATTAGAATAGATTGTGTTAAACGTAATTCTTAAAAAGTCTATTTTTAGATTGACACTCTTTTCGAGAAACTAATTCATTATAGTCTGATTCAACTCTCTCTGGCGAGCATGCCAGTGCAATTCAGTGTTCGAATTTAAATAGATATGTTAACTAAAAAATGAGTTGATTGAATTATAACACGTTTTGAAATCAAAATAGTGCACCAGTTTTCTTCAATTTGTCCTTTTTATCCGACAATTACGATTGTTTTAGTCCATTAGATTTCATTTTTGCACCTTAATGTGCTATACAATAGACAGATATCATGATTCACCGAACTTACATTTGCCAATCTTCTACAATGCTAATGTTTCTCACTGTGTATATACTATATCAGACTTTGCTTGAATATTCATGAGATTCTTAGTCTAAATATAAATGTAATTAAATTGGAAAGACGATAGATTTGCTCTTATCAGTTGAATAGAATTCTATGTTTAGAAGAAAAATAGAAGGTATTCATTGTTCATAATGATCAAAATCGGCGTTTTTAATATTGTTCATTGTTCGATAACTCTTTTCTGCGATCGGAATCACCAGTCAAGATTTCTAATGGTATTCCATGGTTATCAAATGGTTCTTTTTTTCGTTGATAAAGACCTATTTGATTTTCTTTTCTTTTAGGACCCCAATCCTCACTTGGTGAATTGTTTTCAGTTAATGCATGCAAGTAAATAGGCTTTGGCACATTATTTTGGATCGGTGATTTGGGATTCTATCAAAATAAACGTGACTAGCATAATATGAAAATATGACACCATTTACCCGTTTCGCTGCACGTAATGACAAGCATTCCTTTATGTAGTTGACTAGAAATACAAGAGGAATAGGAATTATACAAAAAACGAAGATAAACCAGCCCAATATGGTGCTCCATCTCGGGAATATATACTCAGGAAATCCACCACCTGCACCAAGTTTTATTGGTTCGGCAGAGATAAGTTTTGTTATAGTGATGATCTTAACATGAAAAGAAAACACATATAAAATATGCATGCTGCTAAGGTCGCCATTAAGGATCACATCATATCGATACATACAATAATGAGTAATGGCGCTGATATGTACCAAGTTAAAAATAGATAATATTCTGCAGCTCGTTTCCGTAGCATCATTTCTACGTCGTTCATAAATCGATTAAATCCTAGTAATAATAAATGTAAAAAGAAGGATAGTAAACATAAGAATGAAACAACATACCATAAATGTATGATATGACAATCACTTCAAAAAACCCGACAACTAGCATAGAAGTATTTGCTGAATACTCTTGAAGAAGTTCAAAAAAGTAAATACCACCCTAGATACAATTCATATACTTAAATGAAAATAAAAAGGTAGAAATAAATTCGCGTACAGGGCATGTGAATGTAATACTAATGAGATAGGAAATAACACAAGTAATCACCACCGCAATTGGACGTTTTTTTTTAAGTCGAGGAAACAACTCCACGAGTGATGTTATTGGAACATCAGTCAATGCAAACTAAAGGTATGTATGTAATTTTGAATATAATGTATAGAGAATGACCATCTTATTCACCTGAGAGCCTAAGCCAAGTGCAAGCAACATTAGAAAGAAGATAATGGCAAAGAATGGACTAGCTGGCATGTTTGAAATAGCTTCTGGATAAGTGATGAATGCCAAACCGGGTCCTGATGATGCTGCGTATTTCTCTACAGTTTCATTCAAAGCCTTAGCTAGAAAACCAATAGTAGCAAAAACAGCAAATCCAGCAAAGACTCCCGTTAAACAATCACAGGAGACAACGATGCACATTTGCCTAAAGTAATTTCGAAAACATTTGCTGTACGTGACAAAAATAAAATGAATTCACTTGAAAAAGTTATTATCAAACTTATTCGATGCTGAATAAGCCATCAGTGAACCGAAACTAAGACCCAACGAGAAAAACACTTGCGAAGCGGCTGCTTGCCATGTCTTAAAAAAGAATAAAAGAACTGTTTCTTGTTTTATTTTAAATCATACATTGAGCACTCGGAAAGATATTTTCATAAGAAATATTTTTACTTCATAGTTCATGTAGAACTATGCTAGAGAATTGCGTATTATGCATATGTCACAGTTGACATGAGAATTTCAGTTGAGATTAGAATGCGCGAAAAAAACACATTTACTGATAACTACTATCTTTTTTCTTTCTGCTCCTGTTAATAGATTATAGAAAAAAAGATTTTTCAGATAAAGTCAATGTCTCCATGGTTTAAAAAATATACAGAGAGTGAATTCATCATACAGAATGAAAGTACAAAAATTTTTTTTCTCAGATGTATTCAATGAATCATTTAGTGTTTTCATTCATCAGAAAAAGATGTAAAAGCCAGCGGTATTCATTCAAAATAAGGTGTTGTTAGTTTAACGAAATTTTATAACGCTCGCGCACGCCCGTGAGCCGAATATGATGACTGATATAAAAACACATTGTAAAAGAATGCAAGGAATAACTATTAATATAGAAATTTCTAAAGTTGGATCTCAACGAAAATTCTATTGGAAAAAAACTAAAAAACAACTATTTCAAACGCTGGCTGTATAAATGTGTATGATTTCCAGATACGTGAGAGATAAAAAAATGCTGTTCTCTTTTATTATGTTCATATTGATCACCAAATAGATATTTTTCTTTCTACGATCATTAACAAAAATATCGTAATCATTGATACAATAGTGACAAAAGATGGTTTGACCAAATAGCAAGAAATGAATTTGAATGCTATTCTTTGAAGTTCGGGAAATGGGAACAAGTTAAATACTGCAATTACTAGTTACGTGGTAATTATACTCAACTCGGTAGAACTCTGTCAAAATCTAGTTAAATTTAAATTGTATTCTAAGTTATACGATCTGCAGGTAACTTCGAAGAACGACGAGCTATTTAAAAAATTTTAAACATCAACCAACTCTTTTCTCAACATTTTTGGTCAAGCAATTTTTTTTCTAATTTCTGAACTGCTTAATATCATACCGCATTAGTCCTATAACAAAGTTATAATCCCAACTGGTACTAATTAGTTTCGTATATAACTTCTGTTGTCATTTTCTTGAGAAAACTCATTCTCTGGGTCATTTTTTTGCAAATATATGAAGGCTAAATCATACTTTAAAATCACCAACCAACTCCCATTTGGGAATAATATAAAATTTAACACCATCAACTGCGCCACTTAACGTTGAAGTATAAATGATTAGAATCAACAGAACAACATATGGGAAAATAGCCGTGAAGTACGCAACCTATCGATATAAATGTAAAACAAAAAGGAGGTATATAAGAGGAATCAAACCTTGCCAGATGTTTTGACACCTTTAATGATACATAGGCAAACAATAACCCAAGAAACAAGTAATGAAAGAGCCATGTAAAGTGTTGGTGTGCCAAAATCATCGAAACTCTTACTTTTCTGCAGAAGAAGATTGCTTCGAATAAGAAAAAAAACACATAAAACTACCATCTAACTCTCAGAATAAATGATTGCAACTGATGCAACCAAATTTCTTTTATTCTTACTAGTAGAACTCTTCAGTGGCAGTGATTCTATCTGTCAGATTTATTACTGTGCACTGGTGTTGAATAGGATTTTGATACTGTAATTTTGTGCAATTAAACGTAGTCCCATTGATTGTGTAAGTTGTTCCACGATCTCCAGGAACGAAACAACGGACTGTATTCCACCAATGCCCACAATCAGACCATAGAAGACGCTTTCGAAACGATGATATAAAATAGAAAAGCGCCCATGAGATAACCACATTATAATAGAGCATGCATAATACACTGTTGATAATCATTGCAAAACCGACACCTGAAAAAGTCAAACTTAGATTAAACAATCTTTTATTTCCAAATTAATTTACCTTGCCATCCTTTAGCAAGAATGAATGCAGTAGCTGGACCTCGACTTGAAAATTGGCCAAGGGCTAATTCCAAGTAATAGAGAGGTGCTCCAATAAGGAAATATAAAACAAAATATGGGATAAGAAAGGCACCTAGAATATAGAATGAACTGAAAGAAATCAGTAAATATAAATGACGCACCACCACCACTTCTGGCAGCAAGATACGGAAAACGCCAGACATTACCAAGCCCTACCGAGTTTGAAATAAGTGAAAAAACAAACTCTATAGGACGATCCCATTCGTGATGTTCCTGATTTTGAGTAAAAAATGTTAATTGAAATATAAAGGATACTTTTGCTAAACACTGACCTCCTCTTCACTAGTCGTTTTCACTGGTGCATTTGTCTCACTTGAAGTAATTGTATTATTAGAGCGACGAAACTAAATATAAATATGGATCGTTCACAGTGCTTGAAAAGTTATTTTTCAGAAAATCGTTATTTTGCATTGTTTAGACAGAATAAAACTTTATCATTTCACTTCACTGAAACTATATTATGGGTTATCATTTCATCGAATAGATTAAATAATATCTATAGTGAACTCTTGCACTTGATCTAGCTAACAACTAGGTACAAATGATTACTTGTTCTATATACAAGTAATACCATGAGTAATCGTGCTGTTTATTATTACATCATTCAATATCAATCGCCAATTAGTGATGATAGATAGGTAATTGTTGTAGCTGAATTCAATCGAGAAATTTCTTCTTTCTCGGAGTAGATGTTCGACTCAAATCATCTTTGACTTCAAGGCTTCATCTTCATTTTCAAACGTAAATTTCAGTAATAAAATTTTTATCTGGAAAAACGAGCCTGTTTTTGCAATAACACACGACAAAACACTGCTAATCTAAAGACGGTAGAGAATGGCTAAACATAGCCATTTTGTGACACTGTTTTCACACTCAGAATAAGATTTATTGACGGTAATACAGATAAAAGTTGCTTTGCAATCACATAGAGAAAACAGTACTGTCATGTTTCGTGTATTATGAGCTATTGTTCTCATATTCTACAATGAATTTAGAGGATTGTTGTAGATTTTTTGTATGCAGATGTATACACCATTCTCAAATTACCACGTTCGCTCTTAGTTTAAGTGGCCTGTCTCATATGGTCGTATATAATTGATAATTAGTGTATGCAGGTATTGGGTGAGACAAAAACAAGCTAGAAAATCATCGTGGAAGACATGTAGTATAATCTCGCATAGGCACACAAGCAAACTTATACAGTTTATAAGCCGTTGATAAATATAACTGAATTAATCCAATATGCGTTCTTCCAACAGGCTTGATATTTAAGAAACTTACCTTACGGAGTATTTTATTGATCATGTTTTGCTACTCTATTGTCTGTTTCTTTTTCTTCGATCGACGATGAAATCTTGCTTTTTATCGTTTGATAAAGAGGCCAAACTCGTTTATGACATTATCTATCTTATAAATGCACACCTCTATTTATATGCTGTGTATATATGTTTGCTTTAGAAAACATGTGACTCAAGATACCTGATGTAGATTTTTCTATTCGAAGGTCAATTGATTTCGAGCACCCAAAAGTATGAATCTTTCTGTTTTTCTCTAGCGTATTGATCTTGTTTTATTTGCCAATTGTACTCTGTTCTTTTATCTCAAACCAATTCTCTTTACGATCTATGAAAATGAACCCAATAATTTTAAAACATAAATTGCACTGATTCTGGTTTTTTTAGTTAAGCAAAGCTGTAAATAACTGTCAGGTTTCAAAGTAAAATCGAAATTGTACCCTATTATCATTGAAAAAGAATTCGTAATCATTACACAGCACATTTTCAAATCTAGTTAATACGTAATCTTGCATATCATCATACTGCAATCAGCGGACATCAAGTCTATAAATAGAGTGTCTACTTCTGTGTTCTGTTTTTTTTTCGTCTTAGAGTTTCTCGAAAGTGAGAAAATTTATTGAAATAATTAATCGATAAAATGAACACGCTTGCTGACTAAGACATTGACTTACACCTTTAGTTTTAGCTTACTTCATCTCTCTGGTTGCTTTCCAGACGACGGGAAAATGCTCTACTGATGCGTTCGACTAACCGTCAATATTCAAAGCACTAAGCCAGCGAATCATGCATTAACACACACTGCATACATGGCAGAACATCAGTCAATATTTTTCAATTCTGAATCTTTGAGTCTAAACTTAAGTGACTTATTCATCGACTAAATTTCAATAAAACTCGATGACTTTCCTTATTAAAAAGAATCTTTTCTTTCCCATTTAATTTGACTGATATCTCAAGATGCGTAAAATTTTCTTGTGAAAAGTTGTTATCAAGTGAATGGCAGGTAACATGCCACCAAAACAAGTGACTCTTTAAGAGCAAAGAATAGAGCATATATGTTTATCAGTAATGCAATATATGACTCAAAGCTGTTAATTAGTTTCTATTTTTTTTATTACTAATTCCTAGCAGAGGCAAACAACGAAAAGGATTTGCTTTTTCTTTCACCAGAAACTCGATTACTTTATTACGTTGTCTTTCGACAAATAAGGCACTTCAGCATACATAGATTTTCGTTTTCTCACAGCGCAGTTTATGACTGATACACGTATCCATTTTATTTCATTTTGAATACCGTTTTTTATTGTTTCTTTATATTTCTTTCAGTGCATTTTGTCCCTTCGATAATTAAATTGATGCTTTGTCGAAATACCTTGGTATTTCTCTGCATCATTTTTCTTCTTCTTATCCTCAGATAACAAATCTATAGTTTGATAATCACTATGAGTCAAGAAATAACAAACGTCATGGAGTTACCTATTAGAACAAAATCGAAATTATTTATTGGCTTTCAGCGCTTTCTCATTCAACCTCAATATACACTAGTCGACGATCTTGACTTCGATCTGTCCAGATTCTTGTTTTCCTTGAATATCAGACAAGATTCTTTGTAATCATAATATTCAGACAAGATTCTTCGAGGCAGGAAAGAAACAAGATTCTTGTCTGTTATTCAAGAAAAACACAATCTTGTCTGATTGATCAGATAAATAAGAATCAGGCAAGAATGGCAAGATATTCAAGATTTTTTTAAATTCAGGCAAGAATCTTGTTTCTTTCCTTTCTCAAAGAATCTTGCCTGTTATTCAAGAAAAACACAATCTTGTCTGATTGATCGGATAAATAAGAATCACGCAAGAATTACAAGATATTTCAAATTTCTTGAAATTCAGACAAGCTTCTTTTTTCTTTTCTTTTCAACATATCTTAAAGAAAAATATCACGTGATGTCTGTGTATATATAGTTATAAATATACAGAAATTTGAACATTATATATTTTTTTCTAGATGACGCGCTGACGAACTATAACACATGTATTTTTTGAATAAATTCTTTTGTTCAATCGTTTTTCTTTTATTTTTTTTCTTCTTGATTTGTTTTACGCGATATGAATTTTTGTATGTTTCCTTGCACATATAATGTACTTTTTTTGTATTTTTTTTTAATTCGAAATTAAAATATAATAGGACCGAAAGGAGGCAACCGTATGGATGCCTAAATAAAATTTATCTGTATTACAAGGATTTTCTCAAAATAGCAAGAATTGTAAGAAAACAAGAATCTTGCCAAAATGGCAAGAAACAAGAATCATGCCAGAAAAGCAAGAAACAAGAATCATGTAAGAATTGCAAGAACACAAGAATCAGGCAAGAATACAAGAACACAAGAATCTTGCCTGGCGGGACATTTCTTGCCTCGCCAGCCAAGATTGTGTCTACACGAATCTTGCCAGAAAGTCAAGATCTGTTTTTTCAGACAAGAATCTTGTACAGAAGGAATGGCAAAAGAATCTTGTCTGATATTCAAGAAAAACAAGAACCTGGACAGATCGAAGTCAAGATCGTCGACTAGTGTAACGTATATTTGTGCATTTCAAAAGATAGTAGCAAAGCGGCTGTAACACGCGACTGTTCTGATGAAATCTTGTCGCGCATCAAATACATATGCACAACAAAAAAGTGTCAGATTTGTTTAATAACGCTCAAACAGATGATAACAATAGACTTCATAAAAATGATATTCTAGAAAGTATTTTCAAAATAAGATATTTTTATGTGATAATTATTTTCTCGTTTGTATGACAGTCAATATGTATGCAAAAGTCGTTCTATTATACAATGTATATTATTTATAATTACATTGTTAATCAATAGCGATTTTCTTTGAACCGCATCCGATGTGAATTTCATTCAATGACTATCTGTCTTATGTTCACTTACATATTTTCTTATTGATTTTGTTCACTATGAAGAATGAGAGATTTGTAATAGTAAACTCAAGATTGTCAATATGAAGCAGAGGGTCCACAGGGTGATTTTTTGCACCCTGTCCTGTTGAAAAGCAAGAGCATAAATTAAAAACTCACCTTGTCCCTGCCCTGTTCGGTCCTCTGACCAGGGCAGGTCAGGGTACCCTGCTAAATCAAAATAATGTCTGTGCTGTAATTTTCAATATATTTCAACACAAAAAAGGTATTTTTCTCATTGTAGCATAGAACATTTTTTATTTTAGAGCCAGTCCAGATAAGCCACGGCCGAACCTGTTCAATCAACAGTGCTCGATTTAACTGATACTTTTATGCATGATAGAGGCAAGTGTTTGATGAATTCATGGGCAAACTGTTTCAAAAAAATCTTGTTCCATTCTTGCGATATAAAATTTTTCTGGGACTCAAATCTTTTTACAGATGCATTCATTTTGCTTGAAATTTTCAATGTGGATCTATCTTTAGTTGAGATATTTTCCCTTAAAATATAAGCTCAAACGGATGAATTATTGATGAGTTGAGCTCATATTTTAAGGAAAAATATCTCAACTAACGATGCACATACATTAAAAGCTTCAAGTGAAAAAAATATTTTCTTGAAGAGATATAGGTCTGAGAAAAAAATCACAAAATATCATTTTCTGATGAGGATTCTCTTAGAAAAAATTTATTATCCCAAGAACGGAAGAAAATATTTTGAAACGGCTTGCATAGAAACTCATGAGACACTTGTTTCTATCGAGCGTAAAATAACGAGTAAAATTGGCGACCATCGATTGAGCAGCTTCTGTTGGAACGAGTCGTGGCTTATATGGACTAGGTCAGATAGAAGGACTTCTGATTATCAGTTGGTATCGCTCGCTGGAGTCTATTTTTATTTTTGAATCTTGCAAACTAAAGAAAGCATTTCTTCATAAAAGGAAAATTCAAACAACTGGGTTTTTACGTTGCAGGGTATAACTTTCGCCCTGTCCTGCTTTAGGACAGGGCAGGATTACCCTACCCTGTGAACATATCTGTTAGCTAGTAGTGATAACAACATGGGAGTTATTAATTAATAAATTAAGCCTAATATTACTAATACTAATATTTAATTTGATCGAGAACAGCTAGGGTTTGGACTCATAATTAGTTTTCATTCACTAGAATAAAACAGTAACGCTAATCAGGACATGGGTTTAACGTATTGTCCTGCCGCCCGCCAGGACCAAGGTAGTCAACAGGATAGGAGAAAAGAATGTCCTGTATACGTCTCTGATTGAAGATGTATTAGTTAGCACTGAATATTTGTTCAGTGGCATTAATATCTGATAATGTTAAACATTGCCTTAACATATAATAATATGGCCAATATTTTCAATGAAAGAAGTGACTATAGTTTAGCTATAGATTGTTATTTGAAAGCGCTCGGCATTGAAGTTAAACTTTTTTCAGTGGATCATTTTCATATGGCGGTGACTTATGGTAATATAGCAATTGCATATGATGGTCAATGTAATTATACAACTGCCGTTGAATATCACCAAAAATCTCTAGATATTTTGTTAAAATCCGCGACAATAAATCAAGAAGGATTGTCTACAAGTTATTTCAATTTTGGTTCGACTCTTAAAAAGTGGGAAATTTCATTGCAGCTTTAACAATGCTTGAGAAAACACTTGAAATAAAATTAACTCGTCTGTCTTCTGATTACTTCGAGCTTGCAGCCTTATTTAATAATATTGGTTTAATGCATTTCAACTTGGCACATTATGGAAAAACATTAGGAAACTATAATCTAGCACTGGCTAGTGGTTTGAAATCGTTACCAAAATATCCCAATTACTTTGCACAAATCTACGATAATATCGAAGTTATATCTAAAGCGGCCGAAGACGAAGCAACAGCAATAAAATACTTTTAAAAATCATTCGAAAAATTTTCCATCGAACCATCCATCTAGACCAATTATTCGAGATATGCTGGATGAAGCAAGGAAAAAGCTAGAAGGAAGCAAATGAACCATTTAATTTATTTTCATGTGCTAATCTAATGAACTCTTGTTTGAACTTCGAGACCAGCAAAGAGTAGCTTCAATCAGTGTCAAATGTATACCATTTTCATTGATTACGTCTATTCGAGAAATATCACATTAGAGTTTTACTATGGCTTTGTATAATTATTCGATCATCATACATAGAGCTACACTCGCTATTCTTAGTCGATTATCAATTTGAAATGTTTATATCGAGAAGATAAGATGTATCGAAAAAAGTATGTGTTTCGTTGTTGCAAAATATCTGTACATTCTCTCTCTATCTCGTCTAGCTAATCATATTTTATATTTATTTACAAATCAACGAAGAATGTTTAGATTAACATCTTTCTGAGCATCGATTAAAACTGATGTTGTTCGTTTTTGTTTTTTCATTTCTTCAGAATAAATTCTTCGAAGAATTTTAAATGCTTCTAATGTAGCATAAGGCATTTGTGTTAGTGAATCGAAATATTGTGCTGGCATTCCTGTTATTGGACATAAACGACGACGTTGGCGACGGTTGGACGAATTTAATGTTGAAAATGTTTCATTATATGTCTGAATGTGTGTAAATGAAACAAATGTACGAGAACATCGTTCTGACATAGGTTCAAGTTGATAGTTTTCATCAAGTATATCATTCCATTGATCATTCGGTTCGTTTGCAATTGTCATTGAACTTGTACAAATGCGTGGACATTCTTGAATTAGTTTCATACGTTTTATTTCTTTTTTCTTTAATTCAATTTGTTGATATGCCTCTGAACAAAAACAAATATCGTTTAAACGTTTTTTCTGTGGTGATGAAAAACTTACCTAATGATTCAAGATTGATTTCCTCTAAAAAAAAAAAGACAGAACGAATTAAATTTGTTTTTAAATATTCTTTCATTTACCAGTTATTTTAGCTTCTTCAAGTAATTCTTCTTGTGTAAGTTTTCTTACTTCTCCAGTATTTCTTAATGATGCAACACCTTTCAGGTAGACACGACGTTCCTGTCGTTCTTTTTGACGGTTCTCAAGTTCAACTCGTTTAACACTCGTTGATTTACGTAACGTTTTCGCCTCTAAATTGAACGAAAACTATTTTTCTATGGATGGCTCTTATTTAAAACATTGATTTTACCAATCTTTGGTACATTCTTTTTTTTCTCAGGATGTCGAATTAATTTTGATTCTTCTAATTCTTCTTCTTTCTTTTTTGCTTTTAACTAAAATAAATCAATACAATAAAATCTATAAGAAACAAGAAATTTCTTTACTTCTTGTTGAAGACTTTGTGCTTGATATACAACTTTTTTTCTTCTGCGTTTCATTGTTCCATCTTCGTCATCATCATTGTCTTCATTAGTTTTTCGTTTTTTATTTGTATCCGTTTGTTCCTGTTCACCTTCAGCTTGTTGTTGTTGCTGTTCTTCATCGTCTTGATCAAAATCTGAATCCACCACATCTTCTTCAGATTCTTCAGAATCATAATCGTTATCTTCTTCTTCCTGAAAATATCAATGGAAAATAATGTAACAACGAAAATCGACTTCTTACGTCAAGAAAACCACCATAAGCTGTACCATAAAATTCATCATCTGGATCTTCTTGTTTTTCGAGTAAACGTTTTAGACGATTACCAGCAGTTTGCCGGCGTTCACGTTCAAGGACAAATGTCATTTTTGATTGTTTCTAAAAGTATTCACGATTTTATTTTATTTATACAAGCTTAAAATTAATTTGAAAGTAGCGAAGTACATGATATATTGATGCAACAAATTATACGAAGGAACTAAACTAAGATTCTGAACATCACTGATAAACTTTGATGGGATTGATGAGTAAGATATACAACTAAATAATTTCTATTACAACAAGAGACCTAGCTCGAGTAATTTCAATCTAATATTTGGTAAAAGTTGGATAACAACTTATTAACCAATCGAATTTTGTTAAATTCTAGCGCATGACATCTAGCATTGATTATCATGAATTTCTATTGATTGTGTCTCATTGGTTCTAGTCTTACTTAAAGAACGAACTGAACACAAAGGTTTGGTTTTGTTCAGTTCATTTTTTTCTATCAAAATGCCTCCGAAAACCAAGCTTCGAGAATCAATTACAGAGAAAGAGAAAGACACAACTTCATCGGCCGAAGCACCAGCAGCTGTTACTGCTGCACTTCAAGCAAATGATAGTGTATCCACTGAATGTGAAACTGGTGGACCAACACTAATAACTAAATTAGATAAATCATGTGGTATTGGTCCAGCAGATTTAAAAAAATTACAAGAAGCTGGCTTTTGTACTGTTGAATCAATTGCTTTTGCTCCACGAAAAAGTCTTCTAGCTGTGAAAGGCATCAGTGATGCAAAAGCCGATAAATTAGCTGTAAGTTTTATATTGAAATATAAAAACACATATAAGAAAAGTATATCAATTTTTATTTCAGGCAGAAGCAGCAAAACTTGTTCCAATGGGTTTTACAACGGCTACAGAATATCATCAAAAACGTTCAGAGATAATTCAATTAACAACTGGCTCACGAGAACTTGATAAACAATTACAAGGTGGTTTCGAAACAGGTTCTATTACAGAATTGTACGGTGAATATCGTTGTGGTAAATCACAATTATGCCATCAAGTTGCTGTTACATGCCAGGTAATTCCTTTTTTCAATACGAATGATTTATTGTAGCTCTGAAAGATATGATACAATGACGTTAAAGTAATCTATTCTCAAATAGATAGAATTGACCGAGTAGCTACGTCATAAATCATCTTTTTACTTCACAAGTCAATCAAGTTAAGAACATTTTAAAAATAGAATCCTTTTTGTGTACTCAAAAAGAAAAGAGTACACTATAGAATCGGTCAGTGTGTCCTGCCGTCTGTTTATTCGATAACTCTTCACAATTACATTCGATTGAGCTGAAATTTTGTGCACAGAATTATCTCATCAATATCTAGGTCGAGTTCGAAGATGAGAAGGATCCGTCAAGAAATGGCTGAGTTATCGAAAAAATTGTCATTTTTGATCAAACCACCCCTGAGGAGGGGTACAGGGATTTTTCAAAAAAAACTTTTTTTTCTAAGAATTATCAACAACATATATAAATCGACTCAGTTTTTAACGCTGATTCTAAATCTGATATTAGTTTTGAACTAAGTCATAGCTTTCTAACGAAACATCGCCTGAAAAACGTCTCAAAATGCACAAAAACTGCATCCAGAAATCAAATTGCCTAGTTTCTCATGATAATTTTCGTGTTCAGACATTCTAGAATGACTCATATGTCGCATGCATTTTTTGCAGTACACACAACTCTCGGATGAAATCCGAAGTTTCCACATTTATTTTAAATTTAGCTACCAATCGATATGGGTGGCGGAGAAGGTAAAGCAATCTATATTGATACAGAAGGCTCATTTCGTCCTGAACGTCTGTTGGCTATTGCTGAACGATATGGTCTTTCGGGTCAAGATGTGCTAGATAATATTGCATATGCACGTGCCTATAATACAGATCATCAAATTCAATTATTATACATGGCAACAGCTATGATGTGTGAATCAAGGTAGGAAAAACAAAGTTGAATTGTTTATCACAGAAATACGTTTTCTTCAAAATTTAGATATGCAGTATTGATTGTTGATAGTGCTACATCGTTATTTCGAACAGATTATTCTGGTCGTGGAGAATTAGCAGCGAGACAAATGCAATTAGCAAAATTTATGCGTATGCTATTACGTATTACAGATGAGGTTCATTTCATTTTTTTTCTCTTCATAACTGATGTAATTAAGTTAGTTTCCATGTGTCTAGTTTGGTGTTGCTGTATTACTGACGAACCAAGTTGTTGCTCAAGTTGATGGTCAATCTATGTATGGCGACCAAAAGAAACCAATCGGTGGTAATGTAATGGCTCATGCATCTACAACACGGTAATTAGAATCTTTTGGCTTCGTTGAATACCATTTTTTTTTATTCCTAATGTTTCTTATTTTGTTTTTAGACTTTATTTGAAAAAAGGCAAAGGTGATTCACGCATATGTCATGTTGCTGATAGTCCATGTTTACCTGAAACAGATGCCGTATTTGCTATTGGCCCAGAAGGAATCGTTGATGCAGCACCGAAAGATCTTTGTTGATTGTATATATGTGTAGTAGATTTTCATTTGAATTATTTATTGTATTCTTATTGAATGAGAACTATGAAAGACAATATTGGAGTCTATAAAGTTGTTTCATTTATATGCTAATGTCGTCTTCTTCTGTTTATAACGATTAGTGATTAGATTTTGAAAAATAAAGATTTTATATTGATGAACAAAATAGAAATAATGAAACAAAGTTGTTATTAACTTTTCATTTCTCAAAATACTTAACAATTGAAAACAAACTACGATATTTTGAATAATAATTATACAAAAGCTATGATCAGTGATCATATTCTTGCATAGATAGAAACTATGAAGATCGCGAACGTCTTAACCATCGGTTTTGATTTCTCTGAGATTACGAAAATGAGCTGGTCTGTATGAACTGGTAGTGGTGCAAGTTCAGAATAGTTTCCATATCAACAAAAATCCAAGCTCGATTCTTTTCTTTTGTAAATTTTCGTAAAATATTTCAACTAGACATTTCTGACGACAGACAATGATTTGAACGATTTAAATATTTCACCGTAGAGAGCAGTTGACATTTGCTTTTCATTATTAAACAACTACTGCCATTGATGACTTTTTCATACATGACATATGGCATTTCATCCAAACAAGCAATGTATTCTTCATTTATGAACATGGAACATAAAGAATTTAGCAGCAGTAGAATGAATTTAAATTGGTTTCCTATTAATAATTTACATCTTTTCTTCAAAACTATTAACTGTGCTAAATTTTCTATCTTAGAGCAATTAAACGAACATACGAAAATACTCGAAGTGAACAAGATATTAACGTCATATTAGAAGAAACATCTTTGAGAATCCATCATAATAATTAGAAAAGCTAATTATAAAAGAACTTATTTTTGAATTGTTTCAAAAGACTAGGAATAGCCGATGAAATTTTTGCGTCCATAAGAAAGAACACGCTTTTTTTTCAAAGTATAAGATATAACTTGCATGAGCATGACAGGAAGTTCAATTGTATGGAATAAAAAAAGCAATATTTTTTCTGAAGAGATTTTCAACCAGACATGCGTTCTTTAGCAAACTATATAATGACTATAAAACGATTTTTGTTTTAAATTTAACATTTTCTATTCTTTTCTCTAGCAAAAGATTGTTTTTGTTTCTTCAAACAATGTCGAATAGCACAACAAACACGATTGAATCTAGAGTATCGCTGATGGTTGCTTATTATTCTTTAGTACTAATCGTTATTGGAACACTTGCGAATCTTTTGACATGTTTTATTCTTTGTCGATCATCATTTCGAGATAAAAAGGCAAAACCAATCATTCATTACATGCGAACAATAACCATATTTGATATTTTAATGTTATATGGATGGAATTTGAATCGCTATACCAATACTGTATATAAATTGAATCTTCTAGAATATTCAATACTATCATGCAAATTTATTAGTTTTACTAGCTATTTTACGCCACAAATATCAGCTTGGCTTCGCGTTTTTATTTGCCTTGATCGATATTTATCTTCAAGCTGCTATCATCGAACATCGATGAATAAATCAAAACCTATTCTTATTATTATTGTTTGCATTATTACTGCTGCTTTCGTGTTAAATTCGCATATTCTTATGTTTGTTTGTTACCAAAAAATTGATGGTACTATTAGTCATTACGCACAATCATATAATATATATCCTCTTTGGGATTATGTGAATTTAGTTGTATACAATTGTGCACCGTTCATATTCATGTTGACATTGAACTGTGGTATATGTTATCATTTAATTCGACTTCGTTATAATAGTTCAATTTCAAGTTTGCGCATTCAGTATCGAACTATTACATTTATATTAGTTATAACAACATCTCTTTTTTTGATTATGACCTTACCAGCAACAATTGGTTATGCATTTTTTCGAAATGCAAATCCTACAATTTTACATTTTTTAGATGCCATCCGTTTTACATACCATACACTATCGTTTCCATTATATTTGCTTACATTTAATGAATTTAGATGTGAATGTATCAGAATGTTAAAGTGGAAAATCTGCAATAAAAATTCTTCACCGGTCGTGGTTCCTCAAGAGATTACATAAACAGAAAGTACATGTCTGATATTGGCGTTTTTTCTTTTGCTTAGTTCCATTGCTTATATACTCATAGAACTTGTAAATATATCTCCATATAAAATATGCCGTTTAATAAACAAACAAGTCACTTTTTACGAATTGACACAGTACACGAATATGATTTTTCGAGAGCATCTTTTTTTCACTTTTGTCCATAGATTTTAGTTTTACACCCTCACGATTCTCTATCAAATTGCATATGCATTTACTATCATCTACTTCATAATTTCAACAAATAACAACAGAATCATATGGATGAGCTTTTTATTTGAATACAAAAATTTTTAGTTCACTTGTAACTTACATGATGATCTTTTTAAATTTTCTTGGGTACACTATGCTGTTTTTCTGTATATGTCATGAACGATATTTATATTTTAAGTTCGATAGTTACAAGATATTTGTCTCAATATATTTTTCTATTCGTAGTGGACATACATGTTTTAGACATCAAACATATTGAGAGAAGACAAAACCCACAAATAATACGATTCGGGTGGTATAGACAAGAAAACAAAAACAAAAATGAAAAGAAAACGCGAATTACATCAATAGAAAAAATGCAAAGTCTCTTTGTTAACGTGGTGGTGGCGGCGGTGGAGGTGCTGCTTTTGGTAACGGTGGTACGAAGCCAACATTATTATTTTGATAGTATTGTTGTTGATAAACACTTTGATAATACATAGCAGTATTATATTGATTCCATTGACTCCATTGTTGCTGTTGTTGGGGATTTTGAGGATTCGACCATGATGTCGATGAGTTTGTATTATTACTATTACTTCCTCCATTTTCCATCAACGCCGGTATATGTTGAGCACGATATGAATCACCTTCAATATATGATGAATAATTTGCACTTCGGTTATTTCTTCGTAGAAGATAATGACCATCGAATACATCATTATTATTGTAACGAGGACCCGTATTACTCCAATAATTTGTTGATGTTTGCGGTTGAGTAGTAGTAGTAGTATTAGTCGTACTAGTAGTAGAAGAAGTATTGTTTGTATGAAGAGACATCAATGATGGAGGATTCTATTTAAAAAAAACACACACATACAAGACGTATAAATAATATAGTTTCACATGATATATTAATTGATATAGCTTTTCACGAATGAGAGGGATGAGTATTGATACGTTTTCTATCAAAGACTCATTTAATCAAAATAATAATAGGTCATTCTAGCCTATGACTTCCCTTACTCATGCAAACTTCGAATAAAATAACGAAAATAATCCTTGGACTTACATAATTATTGATCGTGTTTGGCATTCCATTATTATTCGTAGTTGTAGGATTATTAAATGGCATTGGAGCAATAACCGGGGTACTTGTTGGTGGTATTCCACCTGTTATAGCTAATGTTGGTCCATTTGTTCTTGATCCACTCATTAGATTTTTTCTATCTTCTAATGATAAAGAATTTACATCAGAATCTTTTTTACCAGTTAATTCATTCATTAATGATTGATACTAAAAAAATACGGAAAAGTATTATTTAATAAAATAAAATTTCTAAATCTTACTTCACAATCAAGTTTTTGTTGTTCAGCTCTATTTGTTCCATTAATCATAAGAGACCCATCAGGATTTAATTCTGCATATGTTCCATCCGGTTTTTTACGAAATTTACAATCGCTTGTTACATGTCCAGCTCCACCACATATTGTGCATACTATTGTATTTGTAACAATTTTTTCAGCTTCATCAATTATTTTCAGTTTTCTATAAAGCAGAAAGATAATTTTTAAATTCTAGATAGAAAAGGAGAGGTTTTCTTACATGAGACAATCATTTTCACGTAATGTTCCATGAAGTAATGCTAATTCGCGCAATTGTTGTTTACGTAATTCATTCATTCCCTCAGGCTCATCAATAGCTTGATTTATTATTTGTTTCACCTATATACATAAGAAAAAATATCGAACATCATTATTTTTAAATCTTGTATTTTTACCTTCTCAACAGCTTTAGCTACTATTTCAGATGAAGTACCGGTTATATAAGCATGTAACGGTTCATCTTCACCTGGTAGTGGCCCAAATTTGACTAAACCCATTTTCCCATCTTTGATTGATCCTTTACCTCTAATGATGATTTTAGCATTTGTCTAAAGACAGAGAAAAAGCATTTCCAGTGAAAAAATGTAATATATATATATATATATATGAATACACTTACTTCTTTTTCTAATGTTTTGAGTGTATTACCACGTGGTCCAATAATTAATCCAACGAAATTAACGTCTGGATGATCTTCTTGTGGAATCATTACTTTATCAATATATTTAGCTTGCGTAGGTCTAAAATGAAGATATTTTAATGAAATTTTGAAACAAGAACATTGCATATCCTTTCAGATTATATTTGCCGAAAGATGAGTCATATTTTTACTACTCTTAATTCAATAGTTAGTTATTACTTGATAAATACTCAATCCTATGATAGATATTCTAAACAACTGTCCGGTACCCTTATCCTAGGAAGAGTAAACTCTTTGTTTCATAGTGTAATACATACTTATAATCAGCTGGTGCTTTATACTCAGGATTGAGCACGAGTAATTCAGTAACAAGTCGATGGCGTTGTTCTTCAATTTTTCGTCTTGTTCGAACTTCACGAGTATTTTGCCGTTTTCCTTGTTGATCATAAATTGGCTCGGGTGATGGAGACCTAAAATGATTAAATATAATAAAGTGAGCTATTTTATTCATTTTGTTCATTTTTTAATACACAAAAATAAAGAAATGACACACTCCATCGTGTAGAATACTGAACTAGAACATAAGAGAAGATTAAAAATTTTAACCTGCAAGAAAAATGATTAGATAGGGATTTATCTTAAATATATGTGTTGTACGCGTCTTTTTATTATCTCACCTTTCAATATCGATTGACGTTCAACGTCACACATAGACACGAGAAGATGACTAGAAAAGGAAGAGGATTTTATTATTAGAGGAAAAAAAACATAATGGGAGAAACACTTCTGTCTGGATTTCGGTGCATTAGAAGAATTCGTAGCACTAAATAAAACAAAAAAGAGAACTTGTTTTTTTTTATCAACTAACGCAAATCAATACTCATTAAAAAAAATGAAGGACGGAAGGAAAATGGAAGTTATGAAAAATAAAAATAATAACACTGAGAACAATCAAATATATTTACCTGGCTTCAGAATTAGTTGAAATACCTAAATCACTCATTTTTAAGCGTCGTGTTAATTCTTCGATTTGAACTTGTACTAAAAAAAGAAAACAACGATTTTCTACAAATGCAACGTACTACAAATTCACTTACAAACATAAATTTTTTGTTGTTGATCTGTCATAGTAGTAGCTGAAATAGTTGTTGGCATGTTCGGTAGAAAAACTCTATCAGTTTCATCGCCAAAACGTCGCTTACGTTTTCTTGCTGGTTGTGTAATATTACTTGTTGATTCAGCTAAAGATAAAAGGACAACCAACATGATGAAATCCGTTTCATAATTAAGTTTTCTTACCGGGCGATTGATCACCAGTTGGTGATCTAGTTTTTTCATCATCTTTTACATCTAGTTTAGCTAAAAATGATGGTGGTAACATAACAGAAGGAAGCCGTGCTTTATAAACAGAATTATTTTCAGTCAATGATCCTTCTTCCGTTTTTATCGACAAATTACTGGCTGGTGGTGAACCTTCATCACTAGATTTTCTCGAATGTTTGTGACTTTTTTTGTATTTTTTTGATGGGCTTCGACTTCGTGAACGTGGACTTCGTGAGGACATAGTTAATCGAAATTTATTTCAAAGAGTGTATGGATAATTAACAAAGATGCGGAAATATTTGTATATATATGAGTACTTCATACTTGTTGTTCGACCTCCTCCATTCATTGAAACCAATCAATGCATTGGATGTCAGGCTTCTCATCATGATGTCGCTAGTAGACACCATCAGAATAAAAGCATCACGATATCTCTCATTCTCAAAAACACCAATGTATAGTTTATCTTTCTCAAAGTTGGTAACTGACTAGCATTAAGAAAAAAAGCTTTTTTCTCTATTATTCACTACAGGTATTACGATAGGCTCTACCAGCTGAACATTGATTGGCATCCAATGATAAAAATAGTAGATTAACGCGAAAAAACGCAGTTCGTTACAACAAATAAACAAAAGTCATATCATGGCTAAACGATCCCCGGACTTCTAGTTGAAATATTGAGTGAAGCAATAGCATAAACAGTGTTATACACATACATGAGAGTACCACAACTAATATACAAAGAAGAAATTATAGAATGCTGTACTTAACTGCCAGTATACACGAAGAAAGAAAATTTTCTTGAGCTTTCGATACGATGTTATAGCGTCAGCATTATTACTTTTGATATACTCCGAATATATCAATTACCGTTTCACGCACTCTCATGAGTAACTTCACTGTTGTTATCAATACGTATCTTGCTTTTGAAACAGAAACAAGTTTAAGAAAACTTAATTCTGTTGTTAATCAAACTTCATCTAATAGCCATTGTTCAACTAATCCTCTGAATGGTAAAGCAAGTATTTTATTTTTAATACCAATAATTGAATTATTTTAAAAGTCGCCGTCTTATATTTATCTTTATCAAAATGATTACTTATATATACATAGAGAATATACGGCAAGTTCTAATGAAGAAAAACTTCTTGTCATTTTCAGTGATGATAAAACATGAATAGAATAGAAGTATACTTTTAAGTGACGGTATCTAATTCAGCTACTGCTAGAATTTTTTTCTCTTGATTATTCTTCATTTTTCTGTAAGACTTAAATCTAATTTAGTAACCATTTAAAAAATGTCACAAACGCATATCACTCAACATATTGTTATCTTGTTGAATGAAATTATAATTTCTCTAAATCATTATGTTTCTATTTTGATCTATATATTTGGTACAATTGAAAATCTTCTCAATGTGTTTGTATTAGTTCAACCACCACTTTGTTCGAATCCATCTGCTATTCTCGCAAGTATTGATCGATGGTTATCATCTAGTGCGACTGTGAACTTCCGAAACATAATTACTATAAGGAATGCTTGGCGACGCATATTTGTTGTTTTCTTGTATTCATGTCTTCTCAATAATCCGGTACTCAGTTGTTTTGAAGTCAATCAGACTGAATATAGTCGGACATGTTAAGCATCAACGTATGTTTGTCGTGTGATTACAAGTCTGTTGTATGCATTCGACACTACACTACTACCATTCCTTTCGATAGCCAATTTTGGATGGATAACAATAAAAAACGTCCATAACATACACACTCGTACACATATAGCTTCTCGTTTCGAAGCAACTGTAGTACGAACCAGAACAAGTGGCACATCTAGTCAGGTGCCTCAATCAACAAAATTAAAGCGACATTTACTAAAAATGCTTATCGTACAAGTCTTATTGTTATTTTTGTTCACAGCTCCTCATACTATTCAACAATTATACTTAACATTTGTACCAAATACACCAGAGCAACCATTACACAATGCAATTGATAAGCTAATCTATGATTCGTTTAGTCTTCTGAAATTTATAGCGAGTGGAATGCCATTTTATATTTGCACAATAATCAGTGGAACGATCTTTCGAAAAACACTCCTCAGTCTATTTAAAACTAGTATCAGTAAAACTGGAATGTCATAAATGTTTGAAAGATTAGTTTTTCTAATAAGTTCTAGTATCATCCAATAGACTATGGACATAATTCATTTTATTATCGATAAAAGAACCAACCACTTAGTACTGAGAGAATGTATGAACGATTTTTAGGTGATTCTCAGGTAGAATTCTATCAACTATTGAGTCAATAAAATGATTCATGTTCGAAAAGTTTAATTTCAATGCATGCAGATGCTACGGAAGTAAGCATTTCTTTTTTTCCTATTGATAAGCATATCTCTTACATACTTATGTTCCGCTACGTTCAGTGTTTCTAATAGAAATCTGAAATAAAATGTTTTTTTACATTTTGTTTATGTGAAAAACGTGTATCTTCACCCATTGATTTTATAAACAAAGTGTATCAAAGTGTAAATAAACGAAAAGAGTTCAGATAATCTAGAAAGATAATAAGAAAAATTCTTTTTTATCTGTTCCATAGAGAAAGAAAGTCACATAGATTATAAACAACCAAGCAAGAGCATTATAGGAGTTGCTATTTTTTATCCAATATTATCACATTTAGTTGAATACTTTTCATTCATAGCATGTACGGTTTTTGATAAATTAATAAATACATTTTTACATCGAATTTTGACCTCAGAATGTGAATCTGTTGATACAGCAAGTGATGATGACGATGGCAGTAATTTAATTCCGCCCAAGCAGACAAAGATTTAACGAAATGCATTTTCGTAATCTGAAATCAAAGAGTTACTTTCTTTTTCAACGTGTAAGCCTTATATTTTTGTTTTCTGAGCAACGTGTAAATCAGAGTGTATTTCTGAAACAGCAGGTGTTCCGGATATTTTGCTCTTGCTGTGTACACTTGCTGTTAGAAAACACTGGCTACGTTCGTTTTACTCTTTGTATGAATCACACATGATTTTTTACGACCGTGGCGAGTATTCAAAAAAGTTATTAAATGTATATTTTTATCAATACACGTACACAATTATTATTTTGTTTTGTTTTGGTTGCTTAATTTCGTGTGTGAAATCATGTTAAGTAAGTATAACATTTATCATAGGATTTTTGTCAACATCAATTAAAAATGATCTACTAATGTATTATAAAATTGAACTTTCAGTGTGAACAAAAAATGCGATACATAAAATGAGCACCTAGTTTATATTTGTGTTAATATTGGCTTTCATCATTCTCACTACGAGAACAAAATCATTTGCTATTGCAACAACTTCCATGCTTAAGTTTGAAAGCTATTTTGCTCATAGCCGATTATAATGATCACGATCGTAAGACATTTATAACAAATTAAATTTTTCTTAAAACAACATGTTGTGATGAACAATTTAATTGAGTCTAAGCAATTATGAATCGACTTCGTCACCTTCTAAGTCATTTTCGTCAATACAAACTTCTTCACACCTACTTAAAATCACACATTCAATTTACATCCATTCATTTGAAATTATAACATTGAATCATTTCATATAGCAAATTCAGCGCCATCTACACCACAGGTCAGCGATTCGATGAATGAAACAATAAATCATATTGATCATTGGCCTTTGAGTTTATCCATTGATTGTCCGATCATTGTTCTAACGACCTTTTGTCTTGTTTATTGTTGTTGTTCTATTCTTGTTGCATCGTCGTTATATGCTGAAATCCAGCTGTTTAAATAAGATCACAAATTTACATAATGCGTAACAAATTAGTTAATTAATTACTTCAAAAAGCAATACTTAATGATGAGTGAAGAGACAGGTAAATCACCTGATGAACAACAAATATCGAATTCAGAAATCAAAGTTTTTTATTATATCGATGATCATGATCCACCTTATTTAACAAAATTAAATGTACATGGTGGTTTACCACGTTTAAAAGATTTTAAAAATGCACTTGATCGTAATTGCTCAAAATATAAATTTTTCTTTGCTACAAATGATCCATCGATTGGCAAAGTTAAAGAAGAAATAACTAATGATGAACAAATTTTACCATTTGACACACAAGATCGTGTTCTTGCTTATCTTGTTTCAATCGAAGGTAGTACAACATCTAGTGGTGGTGGCGGCGGAAGCAAACAATCGAAACATCCACATCATTATCGAGATGATACTATTTTAACATCAACAACCAGTAGTTCATTCAATATTCAACAACCACGTTTACAACGTATGAGTCGACGTTATGCATCAGCGAATAGTGCTGATTATCAAAAATGTTTCCCCAAACGTGTTGTTAATGATATGGCATCATTTCCAAGTAGTGATCTCGAATCAACAACATTCTTAGATGAAACTGAAGATGATAGGTGAGTTGAACTTGAAGTCATAGATAGACTGGTGTATCTGTAGAAATTTCTGAGGAAACGATACGAATAAATTCTATCGACTTGAGAACAATGAACTTGTGACTTACGATTTTCATTAACACTTGATAATTTTAGATATTCAACGGTTACTGATTCAACAACAATATCATCACGATATCATGGTCGAAATCGACCTCGTAGAAGAAAACATCGATTACCATCAGGATTTGATCGAGTAAATTTGTTATGATTGCATGATATTTTTGTCTAAATTTTTCTCATGAAATAACTTATAGGCATCATCATTCAGTAGTCTTAATTCAGAATCGACAATGACATTAAATATTATTACGGTAACACTTAATTTAGGTATGAAATTTTTAATCATTATTTCATTGCATTAAATAAAAGAATCTGTTGTTCGTTTTGTAGATGCAGTTAACTTTTTGGGTATAAGTATTGTCGGTCAAAGTGATAAAACAGGTTCAAGTGATGGAGGAATTTATGTTGGCTCAATAATGAAAGGGTAAAATTTGTTGAAAGAAAAATAGGATCGATGTAGTTGTTCTAGAGCTGTCATTTACAACTCTCATGAACTCTTTAGCTCTAGTATACTAATACGAAATACTTTTCTTCAGACTAACAGAATATATTGAGTCTCACAAGCAGTCATCAACACATTTCCGTTCCGGCAGTTGATATTGAAGGTAAGCTTCGGAACATTCCATAATCGTAACGCTTGCTTTCAATGTAATTCCCCATTTTGTTTCCGTTACTATAGACACACACCACAAGATTGCTATCCTTATTTTTACTATAAGTAAAACGTCAGTTTAAAACTAAGACTCATTCTCTTGTTATTCTAGAGGAGCTGTTGCACAAGATGGTCGCATTGAACCAGGTGATATGATCCTTCAAGTAAATGATATTAGTTTTGAAGGATTATCTAATGATGATGCTGTTAAAATTCTACGTGAAACTGTACAGAAACCAGGGTAAAAACAGAATTATCTAAAAAGACAATTACATAACTTTCTGATTATTTATCGATTAGACCAATAAAATTGGTTGTAGCGAAATGCTGGGACCCCACACCACGTGGTTATTTTACGTTACCTCGTCATGAACAAGCACGTCCTGTTGATCCATTATCATGGCTTGCACATACACAAGCTGTACAAAATACATATCAAAATCCACAACAACAAATTTTACTTCACAATCGACAATCGATATTAAATTCAACAACAAATATGAGCTCAACGATATCGAGTACAAACAATACGATGATTGATAATCAACGTAAGTTTGTAGTTGAATTAGAAAGACAAAATTCTAATGTTTTAGCTATTTCAGGTTTCGGTCTTGATCTTAATTTAACAATTAATTCTGATATGGACACAATCGTACGTGCTATGGCTGAACCTGATTCGGGTTTAGATATACGTGATAGAATATGGTTGAAAATACCAATACCAAAATCATTTCTTGGTATTGTAGAAAATAAAAATAAATAAATCAATTACTATGAATTTATTTTAGGTTCGGATCTAGTTAATTGGTTATTTGAAAATGTCGATGGATTCGTTAATCGCAATGATGCAAGAAAATATGCTTCATCAATGCTTAAAGCGGGTTATATTCGACATACGGTTCATAAATTAACATTTTCTGAACAGTGTTATTATGTTTTTGGCGATATTTATTCACAAGGTAAATAGTAATGATTTTGAAATATGAAAATAATTTTTTGTCTTTCAGGTATATCTCAATTGACGCTTGATGAAGAAGCTGAAGATTATGAAACTGTTTCTGATCATACAAATACTACGGATCGTCGTAGTGGAGATTCATTGTTGTCAACAACAAGACAAAATACGGTTACCACATTTGGTTTCGTCGATAAAAATAATGCTCCACTCCAATCACCCTCACAATCTTTATTAGCTGACAATCATCGTTCAGGTAAGATTAATCGATGAATTAACTTTATAATATTACATCAATTTATAATAAAAGTTCGATTACTTATTGAGAGAGTACACTTTTTGTATCTAGTTATGTCCATGAAAAATTCTTATTATCGACATCTTTCATGTATCAATCCGGCGACTTTATGCAGTAGCAATGATGATAATGATATTACGACATGTTCATCCCCTGTCGAAGTTTGATTTCATTTAATCAGCATTTGTCAGATATGAACGATGCTATAAATGTTCCTTTTTTTTCATTTTTGTCACAAAAAAAAACAATTTTTCAATAAAAAGCAAAAAACGTACTTTGCCTTTTTTCTTCTATTTTTTAACAGTTAAATTTTCATGATAAATATTCTTATCGTTTTCTTCAGGTGTTATTGGCACAAAATCATCTTCAACATCGACAAGCAGTAGTAGTGAAACACGACAATTAATTGATGTACCGAATCGACTACGCTCAAGCAAAGAATCCTTTCAACGTGCTATGACAAATCCTTTGCCACGGGAATTTTTCGTCGATGTTATGTAATCAATCTTTCTTCTGTCAGATAGTTAACAAAATAATTTTCATTTTTTTTTCTGTATAAAGTTAATGTGTGACTGCTCTCGATCGTAGCATTTAAATACTTGTGTAGAAAGAAGATATATCTAATATATTTAATCTCCGTCTTCCTTTTTTTTCGCACTATTTTTTTTGTGCTTGACTTTCTCTTGATCAAAAAGTTTTTGCTTCGCTTGGAATAATAATAATAAAAGTAAATAGAACAAATATTTCTAGTTTTTATTTTCAGTATATGTATCGACGTTGAGAAATATCGAGACGCTAAATATCCTCTTCGCCGAAAATCACATTGTCGAAATGAGGATCGCCGAATCAAAGATTATCGAAATGCTTATTGATAAGAAATTATGATGTTAATATTGACGATCTCTATTTCGATAATATTCATTTCGGCGATCTTGTTTTTCGATAATGTTTGTTTCGGCGATAAGGCATACAACCATCGAGACTAGCTCTGTGAATCGAAGCGATAATATTTGACCTTTATTTGATCATATAAAACCATGAGATAGCGTTCAATCATTTATTCTTTAATATTTTTAGATGTTTCTAAAACTTCTCTTTATTGGTATTTTAACGCTTCCGCCCAATGTTCATAGTCTTTGTTATTCGAATTTATCCCAAACATGGATATGTGATAGTTACTATGCATTAAATACAACTACAGCACGTCGTATCGATTATCAAAGTGTTTTACTTTATGAAAAATTTGAAAATCTGTTTGTTAAAAATGATCATTGGTCAATATTCATAATTGACCAATACCCGTCGACACTTCAACTGTTAAATGCAAGTAATAATAAAATTCAAACAATAATTATAACACCACAGAATCGGTATAGATCGAATCTTCGTCAATTAATATTGGAATCGAATAATATTCGACAATTCAACAGTGATACAATTATTTTACCTCAATCATTAGAGATAATCTCATTAGCAAACAATCTTTTAGAAGTTCTTGATGCTCGAATTTTTTCTGATTTGAAAAAATTGATTAAACTAGATCTGAAAAATAATCAATTAAAACGTGTGCTGCCCGAATTATTACTGAATATAAAGATTGATCTGAATAATAATCCACTCAATTGTCAATGTACAACTGAATTTTATCGAAGAATATGCGAAAAATCCACAAATCTAAAGCAATCTGCGGTAAAATAATCCGTCTAAATACGTTTTTCAAATTTTTTTATCAATTTTATCTTAGTTTAGAAGAGACAGTAGTCTATTGAGTTAAGTACAAGGATAGGGCAAACGCAGAGAACTAGGTCTCTGTTATAAGATCATCTGAAAATGACGTTTTCATTTAGAAAGAATGATTGTGTGGAATTTCTCAAACGATTCAAGTAGCTGTAATTGATGAAAAACTCTTAATAGATTAGTCATTTTTTGAAGTTAAGTAACCATTCTTTCAATGGCAATCATCATCATTCAACAATGTTTTACTTCCTTGAATGAGTACTTCTTGAATTGCAAGTATTCGATTTCTTTTTCGTGACATGCATAATCACTCCTATTCAAAGAGTAAGAACTATTAGGAAGAAAACCTGTACTTCATAGATTATAATAATATTCAAGCAATTGAGATTTCTATACTTTAGGTTTTCTAGGTTTATTCCATGACAATGTATATTTTTAAATCTTAAAATTTTAGAGTGAAAATAATAACTGTATGGCACCTTACTATGATCCTCAAAAAGTTGATAGTCATCCAGCATCTTATTTACGCTTTTCTAAATTCACTCTTACCTGTCCAATTGGCGCTCAGCCACCACCAATGATAATTTGGTCAACACCTTTCGGCAATTTAACATCAATCAATTCATCAAGTATTGATTTAATTTTATTCAATAATGATCAACCCTTCTATAGGAAATTGAAAACGTTTGCTGGCCCATTCAGTGCTCGTACACGACATATATTCTATGCATTTAATACAAATCAATTATCCGTTACACAGGCACGTGCCAGTCTACAACATTATCTTTCATGTTCCGGTATAAATATGCTTGGAGTGTATACACATACATTTGATTTTGATATTGATACATATGCCGAGAAACATGCGTTATGGATCATTGCTTTTACAATGAGTTTTGGACTTTTCATGTCACTTATTGGTGGTTTAATTTGTATAATATTAAAACGAACATATTATTATCGTAGTGATCATTTGAAAACACCACCAGTATATCCAACCATGGCACCAAATAGTGCTGAGCGTACGCCACCGAATTTTGAACTTAATCAATGGTTATCATCAGCAGCCGCAAATATAACTGAAACACTCGAACAAGTACGAGATAAACTTCGTTTAGGTGTACAACAAGCCGGTGGAACAATTCGACAAGCAGCTGAGACGTATGTTATTAGAAGTATTTTGTAAGTAATTTATTTTTATTTTTGCTCTTAGTTCCGCTGCTTATCTTCAATCAATTCGTGTACAAACATTATCATCTTTACGTAATTCTGGTCACTTTATGCGTGTTGGTATGAATATGTTAACGACACAGGTCAATTCTTTACGCGATTATTGTGGTATGACAACTGGTAACCTAATTCCAACGAATTATTTATTACAGCAACAACAATTTCATAATTTACAACAATCAAATTCATCAGTATTATATATACATAATAATCAAATGCCAATCATTAATGAAGGTAGAGAATCCATGATTGAATTGGAATCATTAATGCCTTTTCAATATCGTTCACCTTACGCTGGGTATATAGCATCAACAGTACTAGCAAATGAATCCGGTATTGGTCAACTTGATACAGCTGCTAATTCAGCTCTAACAACATTAAATAATTTTAATCAAGATACAGTAACTATAGTATATGATGAGAATTTAAGAATGCAGGGACACATGATTGGCGGAATAGGAACGTTTCATAATCGACGACTTGATGAACTTATTAATGAATCCAAAATATGACTTATCCATGGTGCATAACGTCCGGTTGGTTAAGAAAGATTAGCAACAGAAACGAAAACTTCTGTCAGATTTTATTTTTATTTTAAAGTTTATACTATTCCATGCGTGTAGATACGACTGCATTAAATTCATACTCATAACAGTTTTGTAAGAGGAGTTAAGAATCTTGATTACAACAGTAATTACATAGTTTCGCGCTTTCTCTTTTCTTTTGTGGAATCTACATTATTGCGAAGAAAATAACCAGTGCAAGTTTAAAAGCGAGATGTTCGTGGCTTCTCTCTTTTTTTTTCCATTACAGACATTCATTTATTTCACTACTCTATTAATTAGCGACTACACTTGTTTGACTAATAATTTGTTTCTTGTTATCATTTATCTATAATGAAATTTAATACAAAAAAAGGGCAACACCTATCCGTTACAAACACCAGTAAATACGCAATATCCTAATGACAGATCTTAGAAATAAGGTCAACTAAAAATGAAAGAGTTTTCACTTTAGGTATTTTGAATTAACTTAGAAATGTAAAAGAATATATGAGAATTTCATTTTTGTCAGCCCTAATAAAGCTGTGCTAATAATCTTTTTGAATTTTGTTTTTTTCTATAGAAATAGTCCGCCTATTCTGAATTTTTTTAAAATAATATGTGCTAACATTTGCTTTTGTTCAGTGTGGTGTGAAAAGAGAATTACTTAGTTATCATAGATGAATATTAAAAAGATTAATATTTTTTTCATTAATATTTTCCATTTTTTTGTGCTTTGTTTTTTATTTTGAGTAAATTTTAAAGAAAAGATTTTTGTTAAATTAATTTCACAACAAGTATTTTCGTTTTTCCATGTGTCCGAACAATTTCAGATGAAGATCAACGAATTGCTATCGTACGATAAAAAAGTATAAAACTACCGGGTAAGTTACATTTGTTTCTCATGTCAATAAAAGACAATGCGAAAGTGAGATTAGTTGTTGCAAGAAATGAAAATGAACATTCTTCAGATGGTAGAGTCGTATTTTCGGAGAAAACCGTGCAAGGAACTTGCTAATATCTTGTGTTGTAGAGAATTAATCAATCTTCATGATCAGCTGACGAACTAGATTTTTCGATTCTATAGCATTTTGCATTTGTAATTTAAGCCAGTGTTTGACAAATATAAATCTTTCGGAATTATTCCTATAACGATTAGTTAACGATGGGCGCTAAAGTTAAGCGTATGTTGTTATCTTATATTGTAGATTTTGATAGCATTCTCTTTTAGCTTTTCAAATGCAAAATAACTTTCGATGTGAGTCTTATCTCATTGGTTAATCCTACGCAGACGACAGAAACCCGGAACGAATCCTTGGTTATTTAGTTGAAAATTTAAAAAAGTAAAATTTTCTATCAAATAAGACAATATGATGCTTTCATAACTTGTGAAAGTTGAACAAAAGAAAAATCCATGCGCGGTATTTCCTATCAAAACTGTTGATACTGAAGTTTCGTTTTCATATCATATCAAGACAAATGGTTGCGTTCAGTAAATCAAGATCTGCTTTTTTTAACAGTTTTGATATGCAAAACAATTTACAAAGAATGTCAACGTCCATAAGGTTGCAAGTTATGGTCATGTCCACAGGTCGTAACAAGCACGCTGTAAAAATGATGACGATGATGAAGTGATGAACTTCCTCGCTCTAGCTCGTCAATATAGTAATAATAAAGGTCCCATAGGCTTATCGCCCGTTGGGGCCAGCGCTGGGGTCCACGTGCACTAGTTTCTTTCGTCTTTGACTTTTTACGGACGATGGTATCTGCACTCCTTTCCGTCCGACGCTTCTCCCATATGGGTTGACGATCATCATAAGTATCACGTGATTGTGACATTTATGATGGGGCTGTGTTTGACTCTGTATATTGACTAGCGATGCCATCGATACACTATCGGATGAGTCATCCGAGACAAGTACCCGTTAGTGATTAGTCCAGGGTCATTACATAACTGGTGATACTGAGGTTTGAACGCAGTATATTGTGAATATGTGTCGAACAACATATCCGCTCAGTCATGTCGGCTTAGTTCGTCGATAGGTTGTTTTTATAGTTTCGTAAGAAGTTTCTATTGAGAAGGACAACAATGTGCTATTTTTTTAAATTTTATTCTTTTAGGGCACCAATTCTATTCGACTCCGTTATCATAAGTATCATTATAGAAATCGTCGTCGTATGCAAATATCGTCGTCATTATCCGTCAGTTTCGATGAAGTTAATACTGAATCATTTCACATATTACCAAATAGTAATCTATCGATAGTATTTCGTTTTTTACGTCCTGGTGATCAATCAGAAGTTAAAACTCTTTGTCAAGATTGGTTTCCGATTGAATATCCCGATAAATGGTATGATGATATAGTTCAAAATAAAAAGTATTTCGCTTTAGCAGCATGTGATACTCATACACAGAATATTGTGGGTATAATTGTTGCTAATATACTTCTATTAGGCCATTGTAATCGTGAAGATCAACAAATTCTAAATAGAAACTTTACATTTACAACATCGGCCTGTTATATATTAACATTAGGTGTAATTAAACAATACCGGCGGCAAGGTTTAGCTAGTATTTTATTTGAAAATTTATTAACGACATTAACTAAATATGATACATGTAAAGTTATTTATCTACATGTTTTATTTTCAAACAAGCAAGCAATAGAATTCTACGAGTCAAAATTATTTCAATGTCGTGTCCATTTACCAGCTTATTATTTAATTAAACACGAATATTTAGATGCATATTGTTTTGCTCGTTATATAAATGGTAAGAAACAAAACTTCCAATAAATTTTGATTCATTTCTTTTTCGTTTAGGTGGCTATCCGCCATATACTTTTTCGGGTTTTTTATCTAATACATGGACATGTTTAATGCGCGCAAATCCGTGTCATTTACTCTATACAATCAGAAATTTTGTGAAAAACAAATTCCTAGATACAAACTCATATCAACGTGCATCATCATACAAACAGATCTCACACATAATATGAATTTCAACGGCAAGCGAGTGGGTGATTTCTTTTTCAAATACGTATACATATATTTCTTTTTGATGTTATTGCAATTAAATGCTAAAATGTTTTTTTTTCCAATAGGATCTCTGTAAAAGTGAAAGCAAAGATTTTATTGACTCGTATGCTTTTCTATTTGAAACCTAAAGTATTAAAATATGAAATAGCTGTCGTAAAAACAGCAACGATTTATAAGCATAATCACTTGCAGTTTCTCTTGCCATTCGAATAGATAGAAGTATCTTCTCTTGTGAATCAATTCACTTATGGTGAAATTTGCGTACCATATTAGTACACTAGAATAAAATATAAAAGAAAATTGTTAAAGAGTTCATAAGAAGTAAACGACCCGAATCGTATATTGTAATTAAATCTTGTTTTTTTCTTATCAAAATCTGCATAATCAAATAGATATACATTATCGCTTTGCTATGAATTATATTACTATCAAGTATTTAGTTAATCCAAGCTTGTATAACATTAATCAATGATATTGAGTGAACTGTGACTGAGTGTGACTTTTCATGTCAGTTAATTCGAGCGCATAAAATAGAACTGACCTTTATGCTTCATGTATCTTTATGAAAAGCATCATGATCATTCACATTTTCTATTTTTTCATCATCTTATGAATAAATCCTATGTGAATCAAAACTCATCAGCAATATAATTATACTGAACACAATGATGTTTATTACTATTCAGGGAAAAGAATCAATATATAAAAATCTCGATGGTACTTATGATGCAAGGATAAAATGCGAGCATATATATATATATATAACGAGAGAAAAATAAAATGTGAATGATTGAAACACTAAAAAGATATAGCCAGAAGGCTTTTAGAGATTCATTTATTTATTCGTTATTTTCTTTTTACATATATATGTAAATGCAATTTGCTCCTTCTATCCTTTTGTGCCGATACAGAAGCATTAGAAAACTCTTTTTTTTGTGTTAATCAACATTAGAGTAATATATATATATATATATATCCATTAGTCTAACACTGTTTTGTTGTTATATAGATTTTAGAAGTTCATTATTGTATTATTTCTCATCTGAATTCTGTTCTATTTTTACATCATACACGTAGAATCTAATTTGATTATATTATTTAGAAGTTTTATTAATAACATCTTATTATTATTGAGACACAAATAGATAAAATATTTGTTTTTCTTTCACATCAATACATATACAAAACGTAGACATAAAACTTAGTTGTTCAACAATAGTTATTAGAAAATGTCATTTTCGACAAGTCTCAGCATGAAAGCGACCAAAAACATTCAATTCAAATAGACACATTAATATTATGACTGACAACCAAGCAATAATAAGAAAAACGCCATAGAATTTTGTTAAACGACATCGATTTAGAAAGAATGTCAAAAGAAATGTAAGAATTGCAACAAAAAGAACAATAGTTGAATAAACTAAACCTCGCGAATGAATTTCAACATAATATGGAATATTTGCGTTTATAGGCATTACACTAATATCATTTGGCGAACCTACTGTTAAAGTTGCTAAAGCTGAATCATCCATAAGTGGTGCAGTTTCATACGGAGTTTGTTGATAAGTAAATCTCATTAAATTACGAAATAACCATGGAATACCTAAGCCCATTAAAATATCAAATACATTTGAGCCAATTGAGCCTGCAATAGCCATTTCTGGATGGCCGCGCCGTGTCATAACAATAGCGGAAAAAATCTCTTCTATTGAAGAACCAACAGCTAATATTGTTAAACCCATAATACTATCTGGAATATATAAAGTTGATCCAACAGTGACAACAAGCCATACAAGAAAATAGGCAAGACCAGCAACCTATCAAAAAACAAACATCTTTCTTAACTTATCCAAAAAACGAGATAATTTACCCAAATAGTTGACATGACAAATGTTAACATATAATAATTATGAAAAACTTCTTTTCGACAATCCGGTATTGTTATATGCATGAGTAAACGAACTGGATACATAAGTGTCCATTTTAATATTTTATATTTTTTTGTTGGTAATTTCAATGGATCAAATATCTCAGTTGCATTAGCAACTATTTGATGATTATCTAATGTATCCTTAAGACGTTTTTGACATGGTTTATATGTTGAACGTCGTTTCATATATTGTTGTTTAAGTGTTATGGTATTCATTACAACTGATTCGGATACTGAACGAGGACGTGTGGTTAAATTTTGTTCTAATTCAGCATGATCATTTAATGATTGTAGTTGTTCAGAATGATGTTCATCAGATTTTCGTTGTGTTTGATTACCTGAACTTCGACGTATAAAACGTGATATACGATCATTAAATTTCAGTATAGCCACATAAATAAAATAGAGTACAACAAGTGCTAATGCTTCATACCAATAAACACGTTGATCATATATAATTATAAATAGAATAGCAACAGCTATACAATAAAATCCAGCATCTCGTACAATTGGATATGCATCTAATTCGCACACAGTTGTTGATATCAGTGCACATAGAGCAATAACAAAAAGTACATTGAATACAGCCGAACCAAGAATAGTACCCACTAAAAAATACGAGAAAACAATATTTATATATATATATATGAGAATTTTTAAATCACTTCATTCTAATGAGTTTCCTCGCTCATTTAAAAAAGAATAAAAAAAGCATTATTTCCTTCCGCTTTGTCTTGTTTCTAAATTTAGTATATAGATACACAATTTCAATGCTGTTGAATCTTGCTTTTTTTCTCTGCACAATTACAGCTCATTCAAAATATGTTTATTCAGTTTTCATGTCTTCAACTTACGAGCAATATCCGATTTAACAAAGAAGACACCAACAATTGAGGTAAAAAATTCGGAAGCTGATGTTGCTAATGCCATGAAAGTTGCTCCGGCGACATCCTATGAGACAGACGTTAAACATACATTTTCTATCATCATTAATGACCTACTGGTGTTAAATTTAGATTGTAACTAATTTTTTCTAAAGCTGATGCAAAATAATCATCACAAACAATTTCAATAGCTGCAAATGAATATAGTATAAGTGCTATATGAAGTAAAACGCCACCATTACGACGTTGCTGTTCAGTAAAAAATAATGATGGAAATTGATCAATCGATGCTGATTCGCATTTATTTTTTGGATTGTTTGATGCCCATTCATTTGTTTCTGTTTCATTTGTTGAAAGAGTATGTGTTTTGGAAAAAAATATTTGAAACACAGTTCCAAATAGAACTGTCAATAAGACTTTGCGTCGAGTCATAATAATAATAATAATAATTGATAAAGAATAATGTTAATATTAAAAACAAAATAACGAATAATCTTCATCTTTAAATATAAAAATCTTTAGGACTTTTCAGCTGCAACTATTTCCAACAAATCTAATTATTGAATAATTTATTCTCTGCTTATCTTGTTTAAAGAAAACTTATTGCATTCAAATACTGTTACTAACTCATAGTGAAAGAGAGAAAAGATAGGGAAGAGGATGATCTCATTAGTGATGCTAAGCAACTACTATTTCGTATTAGAACAAGAAGACGAAGATGAAAAACAAAAATTAAAATTCAGATTTTACCTGTTACTACTATCATTTGTCTTTATTGATGTTTAACTGTCATCCATTTTTATTGATGAATATGCAATTGACTGATAACACAAAGACTTATTTTTTTTATTTGGTCGTCTTTAAGTCTCTTCTTTTAGTATGAATTTGCAAGTACGAACTACTTGGTTGCCTACTCCAATAAAGAATCATTATCACATTGCTTAAGCAACATCATTAGCATTATCAAGGCAAGAGAACGGCAGGAGCAGTTGTGTTGGGTATGCACAACCAAAAAAACTTTTTTATAATCATAATAAAATGATTGTTTTTCTCTGTTGCACTCTCGTTCTCGTCCACTCGTCTAGTTAACCGTTTGTCTTTCTACGTTTCTCTCCTTCTGTCGTCTCTCCTTCTCCCTGTTCTATCTCGTTGTGTGACACTAAGAAAGAAAAGGATGGCTGACTAGTAAACCCCTCTTGCGTGAGAAAATACTGCGACAAGAAACAGAGCGGCCGAAGAGGAGGTTACCAACCCGGTCCTTCTTCTTTTTATTCTTTTATATGTCGTATAGCACAAAACACGAACGAACAGGATTTGTTGTTGTTGGTGTTTCTATTCTACCGCATGCAAACGCATATGAACATAATTCACGTTCTCGAAATTACAAAATAGGAGAGAAATTAACAAGAAGAAGCGGAAGAAGAGAACACAGAAATCCAAGCGCAACTGGAAAAGTGAGAGAGAGAGAGAGAGAGAGAAACGCATATGATGAGAGATTTACTACTCATGTGAACAATATCAGGTCATAGAACATACAAGTAGAAATCTAATGATAAATGTTTTCTTTGCTTTTCTGTAATACTCAATAAAACGACATTATCTATATTAAGAACAAATTTACATAAATTTTATATTTAACTTGTCTTAATACCTTGTCTACATTAAACTATAACCATTAAAATCCATTGTGTGCCTAAAGCATCATAGACTAGAAGTTTATCTGATTGCTAAAGAGATACTTATGAATAGCGCATTTACTTATGCACAAGAGAAAGAGGAAGGTTTTTATTGTGCTTATTTGTTGGTTTTTTAAGCATCCCATGGGAATATATTCAGCCGGTTCAATCGACTTAGTGCGCTCATTGCACGCATGTTACAATTCAATTTTAGATGCACACATCCCGTCAGTCATACTTTAGTGTCACTTCCGTCTGGCAAGCATCAAAAGATAGCAAAGGAAAGAAAATGTCGATATATAAATATATATATGCTGATGCTCAACCGGAAATCCATAAAGCTTATTACAAAGGGAACGTGTACGACGGTTCGTATTTCAGATATTATCAATACCATAGGATTATCGATTATTCTCATTTAAGACAATACATATGATCAAATTCTTAATATCTTTTCTTTTTCCTTTTCAAAGAGAAATACACAAAGTAAAATGATTGAATTTAATATAGACTTATAAATGAAAAATGAGATGATTTTCATAGTTGATTGAGAACATATGATCCTTGGTTTTTCTACATTTTCATAAGCATTAGTATAGCAATCTCAGGGGTGTAGAATGCTCTAAAAGCTTTCAATTGTATTCCTTTTGATTTTTTTCTTTTGATGTAGAACGCACAGAAGAAAAATAATTTTACACAATTGATAAAGTTTTTACCTGAACATTCAAACTATATTCATAAATAATATCTTTTTAACGGACGTTTTCTAAAGATGTTGAGAACGACAACTAAAAAAAACCATTTCCTTTTCATAGACTATTTTTTAATAGAAAATTGAATTAGTTAAATTATGAGATAGAAATCTACGCTTTTGTGTTTTCTCGCGGCCATACTGTATCGATTACGAGGATTAATGAATACCTTTTTTTTTTTAAATATTATTCATTTAAATAAGAATAAAATCTAGATAACTTATTGTTGAAGTCATATGAAAAAGGAAAAAAACAATTTTCCCTCTGTGAGAACCAACTGCTGAAAACAGAGAAATAAAAGGAATTAATTAGTTATTCTAATCGAATTCAAATGACAAGCAAATCTTAGAAAAAAATTTCTTTCAAAAGAATTCCTTCGGGATACATTAATATAGCTTTTATTACAAATAAGAAGGTTACTAGCAGCATCCTATCAAGTATATGAATTATTTTGTTTCATAATTATATTAATATATTTTTCGAAATTATCATTTTATGCAACAAGAATTTTTTCTGTGCAATCTTTTCTTTTATAATTGTAGAAACTTCAGTTTCTTCAAATAATAATCCTTTTATATTGCTTCGTTTAATTAAAAATAAAAGTAGCACTAATCATCTATCCTATTAGACTTAGTTGTAAACTCTCTTCATGTTATTCATCAATAGAATATTGTTGGAGTTTTTATCAAATGTATTTGTTCTTGCTTAACGTCGCTTATAAAAAAAAGCAACATCTATATCGAAGACAAAAGAACAGAACATTTTTCATAGAACGGAATATAATCAAAACAGAACAAAAACAACTAAGATATTTTAACAGGCGTTGCATGCTTTCATCTAAGGCATGCCACCCATCCAGTTAGGCAGTGCACCGGCTTGTGGAAAACCACCTGGAAAGTTCAGATTGAGGCGCTTTATAGCTCGGCCTTGTGCACGTATAGCATAGAGCAATGCAGCGTATTGCATAAGTTTTTCTTCTCCACGTGTGCAATGAATTGCGCGTTCATATAAAGTTGCCGCTTCTTCAAATTGGTTTCTAATGAATAATCAACATTTTTTTTAAAGAAAAACAAAATAAAAATCACCTACTGATTGCATTTAAATATAGCAAACATAGTTAGAACTGTTTCATTGGAAGGATCAATGTCTAGTGCTTGAATATAAAGTCTTTCAGCTTCATTATTATTTGATGGATCATTGGACATTAAACAATTACTGTAAAAATAAAAATAAAAGAATAGATATGAGTTTCAAGATACATTTAAAATGAAATCTTCAATTTTTAATGAGCTACGCTGAGTGCACTTATTTCATTCCGCATCAAGTAGATGTAAAATGGCGACCACTTATAGCAATTACGCTATGAAAAATTTTCGAATCAGTTCAATTGAATGAACTAATTCGTTGTTTGCTATGATAGGTAACAAGAAGAAAAAAGCATATAATGCATTTCATAGACGAATTACAACTGTCATCTGTCGATATAATAAAAAGAAATTAACATGAAATTAATGAACAATTCAAATGCGAAATATGCTTTTCATAGGAAGTCGATGTCCACAAGGCGACAGCGAAGTTTATTGCTGGGATTTGTTTTACTTGATTTATATAAAAAGAATTTTAAATCAGCTTCCGTTTCTGGTAAAAATAATCAGCTTATTTGAGTGAATCGAATCGAAAATATTTCAATTATTTCATCATAGCACTATTTACGGGTCATCCTGTATAACTTAGAAAAATCCTGTTTTTTTCCGATTGGTTTCACTACAAAGTATATAGTAATTTCCTCATCATGAATAAAAAAAATGAAAGAATTCGATTATGATGAATGTACCGATTTTGTTTTCAAAAAAATATGATTTTTCAAAAACAAATTAGTATTATCATAATGATTCTTTATTTCATAGTATACGAACGGTATCATCATACAATTTTTGTGCCAGCACAATATTCAGCATTAATATATTTAATAACTTCACAAGGGAAATCAGTAATAAAATTTTGCATGACTAATATATTATTCAAGACTTCACATTTCTGTTTTAACTGCGGCTCTACACAAACGGATACATTTGGGTCGAATTTTTTATATTTCTATTCGACTAATTAATCACATTTTCTTTATCATGATATGTTTTGTTTTCATCCCATATTCCTGATTTTTCGAAAGAACTTCATTGTGACCAATAGAACGCCTCTTTCAGTTAACAACAGCAAAAAAAGAATATGTGAATCTCTGATGTTTGACAAAGCTTCTTTGATTACTTGAATATTATTTTCTTAAAATATATCTCTCTAAATAAAAAAATTAAGTTTTAGAATTTCAACGCATTTAGCTTGTCATCTTTCTTCGGATATAAAAAAAAAGTATTCTATTCATTGGTGTAGCTTGACATGTTTCATCAAAGAGGAAAAACTTTAATATGTAAATTGATGCCCTAAAGATGATATTAGATTGCACGGAGAAGCTGTTTCTGGCTTGTATGTGCTCAGGCATTCTAGAAAAACTTACAATGTAGAACTAGAAATTTATAATATTATATTCTAAAAAAAGAAACAAAAACCGTGCTCATTAAAGATAAAAATCAACTTGACTCCCGACAACTCTAGCCTCAATATATCCTGTAATTAGAATGATTTCTTATCTATAAAAAGATAAGTAGCGTAGAAAACTCTTGAATATTTTTTGTTTTTACGTACGCTTTAAGCGCCATTAGTGTTGGATTTGATGGAATATGTGTAACAAATTTGTCTAAATATGCCAATGCTTTATCTTTCCGGTCATTATCCAAGAAGCACTAAATAGAATTTTTTTTGTTAGTGGATTTTTGCATAATCTGGTTGATATTTACAGATGTTATTGCAAGTGCATAATAAATATCTTGTTTGCATGTATCATAATATTCTTCAAAACTGCTCAGTGCCTGTTCAACACGATCGTTTCTATGTTCTTTAGCTCCAAGTTTTGCATCATTAATTAATTTTTGATATTTTGCACGAAGATTTGTTGGTGATATTCTAAGTGCTTCTAAAAAATCATCATGAGCTTCAGTAAAACTTTCTAATAATGTTTTGAGCTGAAGTAAGAGAAAATAAGAAAACCAAAAAAAAAAATTGAATGAAAAAACGACAACAGCAAAACAAACCATTCCACGATGAACACGAGGTGAACATTCGTTTGGATGATAAGCAACACATTGATCATAAAAATGCAGAGCTCCTTCAATATCACGTTGGTGAATTTTACAATTAGCTCGTTTTAATTCAGCATTTAATCTTATCTAAAGGTATCCCGCCAAAATATGAAACTTGGATACACTAGAAGGAAGTTTTCGAACCTTTTCTGTAGCTTCTGAATCATTAATAATTGTATCAAAGTCAGTTAAAGCTTCAGCATAACTACCCATTAATAAATAAAATGAACCACGAAGCAATAAGGTTTCTAGTTTGTATGGTGAGTCTGTTGTTGATTCAAGTTCATTGGTGCATAACGATGGTATGTCAGTATAACGATCTTCATTGAATGCTTGATAAGCACGTGCCAATGAGCTGTCTGGTTGGGCGCGATTCAATTCATCAATAAAAGATTGACTTAATATTGGATCGTCCTCGAATTCATTTAATGATGTACGAACAAAATCTTTGGACAATTCGGCTGTACTCTTTAGAAATCAATTATTATTATTATTTATACGAAATAAACATATTGGAACTTACTGGAGGTAACTTTTCCATATAACGCTTAGCTAGATCAGTAAGAACTTTATCAGCAGCCATGATATATGCTGGTTGATATGAATCAATAAAGCATACCGTTGAATAATCTATACATGAAATATTGATATTCATCAGTGATAGTTCAATGAAAAATTTCAACAATGGAATTCTATGTTTCTCTATGCAAAGAAAAAGATCACAATGTAGTGCAAGCTTTTGTTACACTTGTGAGTAAATTCTGATGCGATAGAATGGCAGTTGCAAGGGAGCAGAATATTTAAAAGTATCAAATTAATACCGATTTGACTCTTTTTTGCAGTCGACTGTAAAAACTCGGACCTTCAAACGTGTACATCTTATGCCTACTTCTATCGTTGGACCATTTTCTTCAATGTTCCAGACGATATCAGGTACATATTATTCATTTGGAACAGCCATATAATGACTTGTTTTTGTCAGTACATACGAGAATCTTTCAATTATCCGGATGAAAAAAACTCATTAGATAAGTGCGATCGCTAGTATGAATACTTTAAGTACTCATGTGAGAATTTATTCTTGTTTTTCCCACAGCTCATTTAATAGCACACTCATGTAATTTCAATCAGGAAAATTGAAACAGTAACTTAACTGAATTTTTTCTTGTGAATCATTTATAGTTTTTATTCTTTAGAGTAAAAAAGCATTACGCATTCGTTTGAACTTCTTGAATCTTATATAGGAACTTCATTACTTTTGTTGAATGGAAAACAACTGTAAGAGTATTTTAAAATGGATGTTATCATTCAAGTTTTAATTCTATTGATCTTTGATTTTGATTCTTTACTTTGATACTCAAATGAAACGGATATAATACAACAAGGCGGAATCGAATGTATGCATGTACTTATGAGTAAATTTACATAGAATACTAAAATACACAAAACACTATGAATGAGTACTCAAGTGTCGTTCTCAGATCTCAGCATGGATGTGTACCTATGAGTACGTTCTCTTGAGTAGTAGTAGTCAAGAGGAAATAAAAATTAATTTACTATATTGTGAAATATGATCTAAAAGTAGTGCTGAAGTTAAACAGTAGGAATGTAGATCTGTCAGTTATATCTTAGCAATACCTCTCTTACTCCCATCTAACGAATAGTAGCAACCACTAATAAGAGATTGTCTTCTTATAAGATACAAATTACTTTCATATTGCATATCTGAATAAGCACACATAAGAAGAAAATAATCACCTTGTAATTAGCAACAACAACTAATTAGACCTTATTTCATATTGTAATTCTCTCGGGATTGTACAAGGAGTTGATGACTTTTTTAATTAAAATTAGGTACAAAAATTTGTTTCTTATATTAAAATAAGAATAAATATCTAGGCTCGTGTTTATAAGTAAACAAACCTTCAAGTGCCAATTCAAAATTGCCTATTGTTTCCGCTGCACGAGCACGTCTTTGAATACATTTAACGTATTTTTGATTGAGTTCAATAGCTTTGGAACAATCTTCAATAACTCTTGCGTAATCTTTCTACATAGTAAAAAGAATTAATTTTGAAAAATTGCAAAACAAAAATAGACAAATCATACTAATGATTCCCAAGCAGCAGCACGATTTTGATAGAATTGTGAAAGTTCTTCGGTGGACTCAACTGGACATACTTCAATAGCTCCTGATAAAAAAAAACAATAAACAGATTTACTTATTCATAAATTTATTACTTGTATATGCTTCAATTGCTTCATGAAATTTTTGATCGCGATATTTCAAATTGCCTTCATTCTTTAATTCTATAGCTACAGTTAAACGACTCTAAAAACAAAATTATTAAAACAAAAATCAATCGCCTTTTGTTCTACTATTACCTTTGGTCGATTTTCTAATCCTGAAGCAGTATCTTCGTTTACACCGGCGATCGGTGCTGGTAATGGCGGTCGTCTAGCAGCTGACTTTTTGGCTTGTTCCTGTTGTTGTCGATATACAAGATAAGCAGCCACGCACACGGCTGTTGGTACACCAATAATTAAACCCCATTTAACTAAACGTTTGCCTAAACTATTGGCTGGGCCATCTGCACTTGTACTTGATGATGAACTTTTTGCGACTGTGCGTAGATACGATGCCATTTAGTTCTTAAACAATCGAAAAGACAACAAAGACGTTTAAAGAAACTAACATGTGTATACATGCATTTTGTGAAAGTCTAATTCTATTCGTATGTAGGAGGACCAATCAAGTAGCAGAATTATGATGAAGGAAACGATTGGCCGTCCAATGTTTCTCATTGATAAGGTAGATGGAGAGCAAAGTCTTCTCTTCGGTAAATTGTACTAATCTTATATAATCATAAATAACAATGAAGGCTTCAACATTGATTCTATCGAAAATTTCGGCACCACTAGTGAGTAGATTATATGAAACGATTATTCAAATGAAAATATTTATGTGTACTTCTTTTAGCGATTATCTGTGCAAAACTTAACACAGATTCGCTATGAATCTACAGCTAGTGAAACAAAGTCAGTTGACGGTTTAAATTTCGGTAGGTAGAAAAGACTATTAAATTGAACATAATTGTTTTACTTTTCTGTTTTTATTATTAAAGAATTATCGGCCGACCAAAAGGAATTACAACAATTGGCACGCAAGTTTACGAAAGAAGAGATCATTCCACACGCAGCACATTATGATAAAACGGGAGAAGTAAAGAAATAGAAATAGAAATACATTCGTCTATTGATTGGATACAGTTACGAATCTTAAAAAAAGCTGTTCTGTATAAGAGTTAAATTAGTGACAAAGCTCAAGATATAGTCATAGAAACCGTCGTGGTCTTATCTTTTTTTTTCTAAATATGATCATGTCACATATCTTTTTACACCATCGTACTATTCACAATAGCCAAAAATTTGTTGGTGTACTACGGTAGAATGATTCTAAGAGGATCATTACACAATTAAATAACAAAGTACTGCTAGGATATCGTGCGGAGTTATTCTAAAATTCCAGAACGGACGGTGGAACTTATGAATTTCAAGGTCGATGTAAATATTTTTCCTAACATTGACAGTGTTCAAGAGAAAAGAGTGAATGATTATCGAGAATCCGTCAGTAACCAAGCAAATATTGAATTTCTTTCATATAGTAGGAGGAGAAGGGATTGCTTGACCACACCCCTTCTCTATCACGACACGCCTACTTACTTAAAATTATATCATTGGTTGTTATAGATGAATCATAGTTTGATTGACTTTTTCTATGTATGTGCAGATGATATGTACTGAACTAAATGAAAGTGTTTGTAAGCGTACACTTAAGTAGACAACCATTTTCTATGATGGAAACCTAAAGAAGACTTTCTATTGATAAAATATGCCCTTGAAAAGGTTTCATTGATTGATCGGAGTTCTATCGGAATTTATTTGATGTTGAATATTCTTTTATTTTAGTATCCATGGCCAATTGTAAAAAAGGCTCACGAAGTTGGTCTTATGAACTCACATATTCCAACAGCATATGGTTTGCTTGCTTTTTTTTGACCGTACTTAATACATAGGTTTTGATTCGTCCATCTAGGTGGCGCAGGTCTTGGTATTCTTGACGCGTGTCTGATTATTGAAGAAATCGCATATGGGTAAAAAAGAGAAAATTTGTTGATTTTTCTTAATAGTTTTCGTTCAAAATAGTTGTACTGGTATTGAAACGGCTTTGGAAGCTAACTCACTTGGAGTAAATATGAATAACATTCGAAAATATTTATTTGTTTGATTTTTAGATGGCTCCGGTTATTATTGCTGGTAATGATGAACAAAAGAAACGATTTCTAGGACGATTGATTAAGGAACCATTGATGTGTGTATGTATTTATCGCTTGACTCATGTAAACTGTGTCTATTATTTGATATATTTAGGGGTATTGTGTAACGGAACCTGTTGCAGGATCAGATGTTGCCGGTATAAAAACACGTGCAGTAAAGAAAGGTGATGAATATATTGTCAATGGAGTACGTATGAAATCAAACATTATCCTTGGTTGTTACGTACATTTATTTTTATATAGCAAAAGATGTGGATTACCAATGGAGGTAAAAGACTATCAATAGATTTTTATTTGAAAATAGTTAAAATAAAATCGTACATCTTAAGGTGTTGCTAACTGGTTCTTTCTGTTGGCTCGTACTCATCCAGATCCAAAAGCACCAGCGAGTAAAGCGTTTACTGCCTTCGCTATTGAAGGTGATAATCCAGGTTTGACACGCGGTCGAAAAGTAAATTTTATACTGAATAGAAATTACAAAAAAGAGCTAAACTAATTATAAAATTTTAAGGAATGGAACATGGGTCAAAGAGCATCTGATACCCGTGGTATCACATTCGAAGATATGCGCGTACCAGTAGCTAATGTTCTCGGTAAAGAAGGTGACGGTTTCAAGATTGCCATGTTGGTATTCGATAAAACAAGACCTGCTGTTGCTGCTGGTGCTGTTGGTCTTGCTCGCCGTGCATTCGAAGAAGCAACACAATATTCACTACAACGCAAAACGATGGGCAAACTTATTGCCGAACATCAAGCCGTAGCTTTTATGCTAGCTGAAATGGCCATTGGAATTGAATCAGCTCGTTTAGTTACACATCTAAGTGCTTGGCAAATTGATAAAGGTGAAAAGAATACATATTTTGCATCTATTGCTAAAGCATTGGCTGCTGACGTTGCCAACAAAGCTGCAACAGATGCTGTACAAGTAAGAAAAAAAAAGCGAATTAACGAAATGGTCCATGGAATATGAATAATGTATTTTTTTTTCTTAGATATTTGGAGGAAATGGATTCAATAGTGAATATCCAGTTGAAAAACTTATGCGTGATGCTAAAATCTATCAAGTAAAGATTATTTTTCAATCAATTTAAAAACGTTTTAATAATGTTTCTATTTATAGATTTATGAAGGTACAGCACAAATCCAACGTTTAATCATTTCTCGCGAAATTTTTTCGCGTGCCAAATCTGGAAACCTTTAAAACATGGTTCTCAATCGTTCGTTGTCTTTTAACGTGAATTTCTTGCACCTATTCATACGTGCAGTGACGCATATGATTAGATAACGTGGTTCCTTTTTTTTCTAGTAACAGGTTGTCTACTTGTTTTTCTACTTACTTACTTATTCCTTTGAAAAACAAAATAAAAATAAAACAACAAAGTTTATTTTCTATGAGGGTTAAACGATTAGGCAACGACCAAGTTGATTTAATATTAGAATATATCAACCAAATTGTAGATCGTAAAATCGAAGTAGCACAATGTTATATCGATATTTATATTAACATTTATACTCACGTAGATTAATCATCCTCACATTTGTTTTCTTCGTACAACATAATATTTTTTATCATAGGGCGTAAACAACACCCGTCGTTATGAATTAATGTAGCATAGAACTGTTCTATTTGTTTTTTTTACGGTATTTGGTTTGTTCTAGACAAATTGGCATCATCAGCTTCTTTAACTGTAAATAGATTATCTTGAATAGAACACGAAATAAACTATTTTTACACAATCAAATTTTTCTCATTTGCAATCAACAATAAAAGAGCATGATATTTTTCGTGCAAATCTATTTGAAAATACATTGATCCATGTATCATAATACAATAATAATTGATTTCAACCTTTGTATGACACTATTGATCTATGATTGAAAATTTTCTGCATGAATGGTTTGAATCGATTGGATCAAAATTCATTTCACCATGACCTTGGTGCAAACTAGTCATTTTGTCAATAGACAAGGAGAACAATATGGTACTCATAATCGCAATCAAACCGTACACATATATATATATTATTAAATCATGTAAAGAATCGATTGAAGATTACACATTAAGAAAAAAAATACGAAACAGAACGCAATGTCGACGTTTTTTTTTTCATTCGTCGGAGGATTGTTTTATTCATGGCTGTTACAACCCACTAGTGTTTACTGTCACACATGTTAAACTTTTTCTCCGGTTATCAATTAATCATCATCGTTATGTGGATATGTTTTTCTTCTTTGTTCGTGTTTAAAATATTATATTAGTTCAATAATATGAGTAATCAATCTGTAAATGATGAAGATCAACAGGAATTAAAACGAAAACAACGACATCTTCCTTCTGAACTTTTAACAAAAATCTATTATCCTGATACATTATATCCAGATAATTATACATTCTTTACAGACCGAGAATCTTCACAAGCACGATCTTCATACACAGATGCAGATGCCAATGATCAAAATTCAACTACGGATTCTTTAAGACCCTCAACATTTCCCATTGCAATTCCTAGTCAAACAACAGTTGAAATCGAAACACCTGGCAATCAAAGAAAACATACAGTTAAGTGTTTCATGTGGCCTCAAAAAAATGTATTTTTCGTCAAGCCTCAATGCTATAACACACAATCGCACACCAGCTGAGGAAAAAATAAAATAAAAAAAAAACATTATCTAGGGTAGACAACTATTCGCAAAATATTATCGTAAATTTTGATGTAAGTAACCACAGAAAGATAAAATCTTAAGTATGATTGGTTTTTTTTCTCCCTCGCTCCGATTCTTTGCGTGTGTTATAAAATGCCAATTTTTCGATGTATTGCAAACCTTTTATCATATCGTAAAAGAACAAAAGCGCTATGATGTGTCATATTGTTGACGTTTAGAAATCCTCTTCATGAATCATTTACACTATTCTGTTTTTTTTTGTTTCGGATATGATATACGAAAAAAAAAGAGGGAAAGAGAGAGAGCAAAATAGGTAGATAGCATATGATTGTATCGTTCGAGCGCGACGATGAAGCAACATGTATTTGAAGGACATGTGGATATTGCGTTTTAACAGATATTTTATTTTTACAATATTGCTTCTCACTACTTCTAGTACACACAGACATAGATGAAAAAAGCAAAACCATCTATATATAACACGTATTTTTCTTTTCTCTCGTTTTTTTTCTGCTGATTGCGCTTCGCGAATGGTGCACATTTGCACATAAATATATATATATATATTTTTTTTTTTCCCTGTCTTATTTTTTTATGAGACTGAGGTTGTTTTCTCTCTCATTGTGTACTATGCCGATATAGGATATTGTGATCGATCACAAATGATAATCAAGCTAGTATAAGAAAGAAGAAACCTACTAACAAATGAGACATAGATATGACAAAAAACGAGTTTGTTATTTGCGGTTTGTTTGTTATTCGTAGGACAGTTACGATTGATAAATAAAAAGACGTAGAAAGTGATTTTTTTATATATTTTTTAATTAATATTGATCGAATATGTAGATAAAAGACATTGACAACTGTGTTCTTCTCCGATTAACTTCATCTATATAGCAAAAAAGAAAGAAAGAGAAAGAAGAATGTCTTTAGAAGATCAACATGGCACCGAATTAGCACAAGTAAGTTATGTTGTTATATTTTCTCAATTAGTCTTTTATATAGTTTTACATAAAAAACATACTTTACATTGCTAATTGTATTTCTATTTAGTCTGCAATGATGGATCGAGACCGTGGTGAATCGGAGTCGGGTCGACAACGATTCGATATTAAACGTTACGTACCAGTAGCATTGCGTGCTCAAGACAAAAGTGTAAGAATAATATTCAATGTTTAGTCTCTATACTAGATTATCATATATCTTTTTCTTTTCTTTTCTTTTCTTAGCAACCACCGGCTATCCTATTAGATCAACGATTTTATTCAATGAAGAAAACAGCAATGACCATCATGTGTCTACTGGTGAGTAATAGACTATAGGAAATTTGTGATGTCTCACTTACATAGAGACACGTCTTTTGTTTGTGTCACGATCATGCTATTAATATTCATTGACGTTATTGAGATATTAACCTTAACTATGATGCGATTCAATTGCATCAATATAATATTAATGATACTGCTAATGATTTTCATAGAAAAATAATTTACGATTACAAATTAATTTTTTTATAATAGGAACCTCATTTTTTCCCTTTATTATCTATTTCTTAGATAATCATCATGAGTAATAGTGTACAACTGAAACATGTTCTTAAACAAGGTCATTCACATCCATTCTATGGTACCCAAATCGCACTTGGCATTATTTCTGTACTTATGTGTGCTTGTATTGGTAAGTTCGAAGTTTTGTGCTCTTCTGTTCTATTGTGAGTGTTCGACACTTGATTGTCTTGTTTTCCTTCGCTTCATCAAACAACTCCTAGTTGTTATTACCTTCCCTTGCCGGATTCTAGGCCTTGTTCAATCATACACATTTCTGTTCACATGGCTCGATCATCTACCATTATTGTTACTATCATCATCATCATCATCACTGCCGGATTTAACACGTTATGATCAACTTTTCATTATTCTTCCGGCTACTTTAACCATTGTTGTTTTTTTAATTGATATAATTTTTTTAATTATAATGTTTACATTTTAAGAAGGCATAACGAACTATTGTACATTTCAGTAGTTTTTATCAATAGTACTAATTGAAATATTTTTCTGTTCATTTTGTTTTTTGAAAAACTTTTTTTCTGATTTATTTTCTTCTTTCTCTTATATTCTAGGTATTGTTCTGATGTATGTAATGCGAATCGATCTAAATGACCAATACAAACAGCATAAACTTGATTATATAGACAATTGTGTTATTTGCCTTGTATTCATTCTTGCTATCTTCAATATTTTTATTGCTGCATGCAGTTAATCTAATCATTTTTCCCGTGAACAGTCTAATATAGAAATTTTTAGGGTGTCTCTCTCTCTCTCTCGTATTTTTTGTTCATGGTTTATGTGTAGGCAAAATAAATAAAAACAAAATATACCTACAAATATACTTGAGTTTTCTTCATTTTAATTGTTAATAAGGTATTTTTAATTTGAGTAGATGAGTTCCAAGAATAAACTCTGTTAAATCGATATAATCAATTACGGCTTTTGCATGTCTTATAATAAAGAAAATATTTACTTATTTATTTATCTTTACATGTATTTTCTTTTTTGGTAATATCATTTTTCTTCTTCACTTAATGTCTAATATACGACTTATTATTGGTGATATTTTCTCTCGTGAACGCATCATATTAAATCTTTACACCCTACAGAGCCATTGCCAATTGTAATGAGTATTGTGGAAAAAAATTCTTTTATAATCGATATTAAATCAAATAATTTCAATGTCAAAAACTTCATGGAAACTAATGAGTAGTCAAGAAGTATTTTATGGTTATTTTTGAAAAGCTTCTTATCAAATAAAAGAATACCTATCAACATAATCTCTCTGCGATTAAAAAGGTGAAACAATATTGACTTGTTTCTAGTAGGCACGCACAAGTTGTATATAGTATATGAATTTAAATTGTAGATTAATCATTTTGGTCACAATCTGTGACGTGAAAAGTAGGTGAATTGCTATGACATCCATAGGAAAGATGAATGATGGTACTAAGGTATTTATCACGTCTATAAGATGTCATGTCCGCAACGTTTTCATATTACTATCTCTAATTGTTTGTGACGGAGGAGGAGGAAGAGAAGCGGGCACAATACTATCCTCTCTCTATTTCGATACGGCTTCTGGATTGTATTTCATAAAAACAAAGATATCTGAAATTTTTATTACTTTCACTTGACCTGAAAGACATTGTAAAACAAGGAATCAACAGTTATTATATTTAAATAAATGCGGAAACATTGGATTTGCATCTGATTGTTATGTGTACTTCAAAAAGCGAAAATGTACATCCATTTTTTTTCTATAAGGCATAGATCTCATCAAGATACATCCCTTCTCGCTAAATTGCAAGGAAAAAATACAGGCGTGCTAAGTAAGCATGGATCACACTGTATGCAAATCCATCCAGTGACCACTGACTCTACTCTAAGAGTGATATAATATCTTTAGAGATCACAGAAATTGAGTTCAGATTCGTGTTCAGCTTGGAAAACTGGATAAGAAGAGTTATTTTTGAATGGTTTTGTGTTTGTATCTAGCGGGATTACGATCGTAAGCAATCTCATGAATTTATAAGAGATATATGATAGATACAGGCATCAGTATTTTCGTAATAAATCATCAATAGTAATAGCTATCGAGTTCGAGTTTTTACCTTTCGATAGTCCTTTTGACTAGCAACAAAACCAGGCATTTGAGAAACTCCCAAACTGCTGGTCATCTGAGATATATCTAGGCAATTTGGTTTCTAGATGCAGTTTTTGTGTATTTTGAGACCTTTTTCAGTCAATGTTTCGTCAGAGAACTGCGATTTTTTTTTGAAAACTAATATCGGATTCAGAATCAGCGTTAAAATCTGAGTCGCTTGATATATGTTGTGGATAATTCTGAGAAAAAAAGTTTCTTTTGAAAAAATCCCTGTATCCCCCCTCAGGGATGGTCTGATCAAAACTGACAATTTTTTCGATAACTCAGCCATTTCTTGACGAATCCTTCTCATCTTTGAACTCGACCTAGATATTGATGAGACTATTCTGCGCACAAAATTTCAACTCAATCGAATGTAATTGTGAAGAGTTATCGAATAAACGGACGGACGGACGGACGGACACACTGACCGATTTTATTAGTGTACTCACTTTTTGAGTACACAAAAAGAATGAATAATATATTTATTTTTGGGCCATTCAAAATGAATAGGTTATATATTGTACATTTTTATAGTGAATCAAGTTTATTCATATCGGTATTATAAAATTACGCCATGACAAGTTATCTCAGCAGATAACTCGATACTTATTTCACTAAATTAGTGAAGAAAATAAAAATTTAATCGCGTGAACATCACAATTAATAAAAGTATATTCATTGTCTACATGGATACATTTTCTTGTATTATAAACTTTTCTGCATAATATTCAATCCTAGTATGTTTGACAAGATATTGATTTGACATTAGAAATATCTATCATTTCATAGATATGAATAGTAAGGGGAGATCTTTATCATGCTCTTACATTCTGCTAGATATACAAAATGATAAAAGCACATATTATAAGTTAGGGATGTGATGATTAAACCTATAAATAACGATCTGATCACGCGATTGGACTATCAAATCAATTTAGCGGATAAAAAAAAATCCGAAATCTAATTATGATCACGATTAATTAAAAATAGAGAAAATTCATTCTCATAGTTGCTTCAATCTTATTGAATTCAAATTCAGATCAGAGGTCGTCATCGATGAGCATATTATTCAATCGTAGATATGACATTGTTTTCTATCGGGTGGCCCAGGTTAAATATCCCTCTCAGTGTTTTTTCAGTAGCTTCATCATTTTCATATTCTAGGCCTTAGTTTTTTTCCAAAATATTTGCCATTCAATTCTCTACAAGATTGATATTACAATTTTTTCTGTTGAAAGTTGAGGAAATAAATTAAACAAAGAATATTTAACAGGCATAACAGCATCAACTTTCACAGTGATTTTTAAAACAAACTTTTGCAAATTTTTTATAACAGCACACAAAACGAAACAGAAGCAATGATGTGACTGAGTACTCTGGTGTACTCTTTCTCATCGTGTAGCTTAGAACTTGTTGAAATCAAACGAAAGATCGAAAAGTCTGACTTTTTGAAAATTCTCTTCAAAATAGCTTAAATCAAATATTTAGCGCTAGCTGAATTAAAGAAAAAAAATTAAAACTTAAATTTCGCATTTCACTTGGATATAGTAGGCCATGTCGATCAAAATAGAAAAAGAACGAATGCAAAAAATGATATTTTGCCTTAGTAGCGCTTCTTTTCCTAGGAGTATCGAAACTGCAGATTGAGAGAGCTAAATTCTCGCAAATCTGAAAGAGAAGATACTCAAAGTGCGCATTATAAGGTTGAATGTGGCAACTTCTCAATTATGATCGGAAGATAGAGCTTTTCAACGACTACAAAATACCTACATTATTTAATTTTCATCGTCACTGACCAACGAAAAAATGTGCAAAAACTATTTTCCAGTTTTGAAAGTTGATTCTGTTATACTTGTTGAGTATTCTTTTTTTAATTTTTTTTCCTCAACCTTCAACTGAAAAAATTGTAGTATCAATCTTGTAGAGAATTGAATGGTGAATCTTTTGGAAAAAAACTAAGGTCTAGAGAATAAAAATGACGACGTTATTGAAAAAACATTGAGAGGGACATTTAACCTGGGCCACCCAATATTTCTGAGGTTTTTGCGAAATGGTGATTGGAAAAAATTTCGGCATTCACCAGTATCCGCAACCCTCTGATATGCTTGAATGAATGATACATAAATATTTTGATGTTTACGCTGATATTTCTCCTTGGTATGCGTTATAGAGTTATGCGAAGGGCTACGCTCTTATTAGTTGATCATAATATCGATTGGATGAGTCTCAATGGAAAATATTTTCTTCTCAAAATAAATGAATTGTTCCAAAGTCAATATCCTCTATAAGCTAAAATTTTAATCTAACATCTTGGTATCATATAAGCTGGAAAAATAAATCAGTATAGTAGCGGCATCTGCATATTTGCACGATATATATGTATAGTTCTTTTTTTAAATCTCTTATACAGGGCGATGATGCCTGAAGCAGTATTCCGAAAATTTTCGGTGGGAAGAGTGTTGGCACAATCGCGTTACACCGAGTAACAACTTTTTCTCCACACAAACATACCTTAAACATTCGATGAATTACTCCTAGGGTATCCACTTTGATATCCTAGGGAAAATACACCAAAACAATTCAAATTCCCATGACATGCTTAATTTGAATTTGAATAAAAATGAAGCTGAAATTGCACAATATCAGTTTGGAAAAAAATCAGGCACTCATGTGACTACAGGAAAAAGGAAAATATATTATGTTATCTCAATTGTATTTCATATAATTCGACTTTAGACGTGTGTTGCTAGAAGAATGCCTCGAATTGCTGGAAGCATGCCTCAGGTTACTAAGATTATTCCTTGACTTCTTGAAGTCGTGCCTGAGGTTGCTAAAAGTATGATTGGAGTTCCTAGAAATACATCTCAAGTTCGAGAACGCATACCTGAGCTTCCAAATCCTTTATAGAGACTGTTGCAGCTGCGCGTCATCTTGATACAAGTATTCCAACGAAACTTTCTAACAGACTAACGTATACCTCTGTGAGATTCACGAATGGTTTATACTAACTTATGAATGCTTGTAGCAATTTCAGGTATCCTTGGAGCAACCTTAGGCAAACTGTAAAAAAATAAGGGTTTATGTATTTTCAACGAGACAAAAACCACTTTTTTCGTTTTTGAAATACCTAATAAACCATTTTTCCAAATCAAAAGCGGAAAAAAACGTTTATTATCTTCGTCATATGCAGAAAAAAGAATTTGTGCCCCGTTGTACATTTATAAACTCTTTTTTTTTTGTTTAATACGCGATCAATAACGTTTTTTCTGTTTATTACTCTGCGGATTGTTTCTACGGTGTATGCTTCAAGCTAACTCAGGAACGGTTGTAGCGACCTCAAATAACCTGGGTGTGACTATGAAGAAGAGACTGGGGAGATTTCAAGCGGACTTATATGGGTGCCTCTATTTGAATTTTTTAAAATATAATTAAAATAATATTTTATTTTCTGCTTCCGCTAGTCCATCGTAGTATTTTTCGAACGTTTCATTCATATTCGATGTCGAATTAGCCAGCTAATCAACGGAGAAACGGCGTCCTTGAGGTCGAAAAGTACGTCAAAG